GGGGTGTGGGGGGGGGGTGTGACACCCCCCCCAATCCAAAAAAATAGTCGATTTCGCAGTGCAATCGAAGATTTCGCAGGGCGCCAAGAAGAGCTTTATTGCCACGCAGAAATGCCACCTCTGAAGTTCATAAAGAGCTGTTAAGGAATTTTGAAATGGAAATATCATATTTGTTATGAATCTACCTTCCTGTCATTGCATTTTAGAGAACGGAACAGGTATGTAAGGAAAAGCTCCGTTATTTGCAAAGCGAAAGCATTTCTTACCGAAAGTCATAGCCAATGGATGCAATGATTGATGCATATGTTTATGAGGGCAAGGTTGAGTCATGCAAATTAATTTAAGTTGTAAATTATTTTCATGACAAGCACGGCCTCATTGGGCGTCACTGGGGGGGGATAAGAGGCTGAAGGCCCTCACTTTGGTCAAGATAGGAATTTCTTTATCATTTTTTCTATTACTTTTGAACAGTGCATGGACTAAAACACATAATAAATCGTTAAGATACCGATTTTGTTTCATCTAATTGCTAACTTTTTCACGTATATTTTTATCATTTTTCTTTTATTTGCATTAATTCAGTAAGTCATTTCCTGTTTCATTGCAATGTTTTAATTTTTGAAGTGTAAACATGGCCTTCTAGATACAAGAAACTGCACTTTTCTGTTCAGGAAATAAAATTATCCCAATCAAAACAACATCTTCCTCTGTCATTCACAACTACGTGCAATCTGAAACGAAAGGTTGCCGTTTCTTTCCTTCCCCAACGCTTACACTAGAGTTTTAGCATGACATCCCCCTCCCTATTTTTCCCAATAAACAATAATATTTTCAATAAACAATCAGTTCTTTTAGCACAATAGCATTTTGCTAAATTTTTGTCTGAAAGATGCTTTTTAGCCCTTTTACAAGGTATAATTTCAAAAAATTTCTTCACGTCGGACCCAACCATGGTGGGTCCTCCTACCTCACTAAACTTGACTCTTAGCCCCACTGGGCTAAATTTCGTTGCGCTGTTTACATCATGTATCCCCCAATTAGCTATTTATTAGCTTAATTTTGCAAACCAACATTAATTGAAGTGAATATAAAAAAACAATTTACGCTCACGTAGAGAAATAGAAATTTCATAGGCAATGAAGTTTCAAGTTTGTTTTCACTGCTTAGAAGTTTGTCCTTGGTAAAGACCAGTGTACACTGGTAAAGCTTTCACTAGTAACCTATAGACAAACCGTTGCTACGAGGTCTGCAGGGCACCACTCAGTTTTTCAGGGCAGAAAACCTTTTCACCCACCCCCCCCCCTCCCAAAACTATTGGCCAAGTTACGCCCCTGACCTCGTGATTTCTACGCCTGGAGTTACAGAGAGCTGGTGACTCTCCCCACTCTGGGTGAAAGTTTGGTCATGCCAGGGACTCGAACCACGGTCCCTTGGGTCTGTAGTCAGTGTCTCTAACAACTGAGCCATCCTCGCACCTCGCCCTCAACAGAGTTTATGTTTTCAATTATACTTTGACTGTCGCTTCTCGCTTTTATTTTAAGCCAAACCATGTTTGGGTGTTTATTTGACTGCATCAAGTGATCTCTGTTTTCCGTTTTGCTTAAGCGGGGAAGCTGCATTCAAAGCAATGACGATACCTTACGGATATGCCAAGTATCCCATGATCCATCGCATCCAAGACATCGAAGATCACGTGATGATGACTATCCTGTATGGTTCTCGGTCATGGGTGGACTCAACAACTGGGTATAAGATGAAGTATTTGAGGTCAAAATCTTACGTTGATATTCAAGTTATACCGGGTGCAGGTCACCATATCTACTCCGACCAACCTGAAAGATTTAACTGGACAGTTTCAAACATTTGTGACCAGACAGCAAGAGAGGATGGTCTGGATGTAGAAGAATTACAGCCACCGGAATTTCCAGAAATAGACGAAACCGAGGCTTTTTGGAACCCAAAAAATAATAAAAACGAAAGCACCGATTGAAAACATGTCTTCCATTCGAAGCAGTGGTTTCATATCAATATAGCATAAATAATTATAGCATCACGTGATATTTTCAACTGCTTGCAACGTGATGAACATCGCGTATTTATGTCAAATAGAATGCCTATATTCAATGTTAAATGTATTTTATGCTCATTATGTAATCTTTGTACTCATTATTGTCAAAATTAGATTTACATTGCTCTATTTTGTGAATTTGGTTGTCGTTCTCAATCAAAGGCAGCAGAAAAAAAGACAGAAATATAACATATTGATTTTTATGTCTGAGCATTTTTATAATTTTCCGCGGGGAAATGATTTGGAAATATTCTTCTCTAATGTATCGTATGAATTTATTATATGATTCACTTATTTAATTTATTTTATAATTTTGTGTACTTTTGTCAGAATTATCAGAGGAACTGGGCGTAAATTCCTTCTCTGAGAATATATTCACTATAAAAAGAAATTTCGTGATTTTTTAAAGATATATATGTGATGACGTCACATGCTGATGTGATTTCTGATTTCTGTTCTTGAGCTATTTCTTTATGACCAGTATCAACTGTTTTATTGGAGGTTCTAGACCAAGAATTCAGCTAATTCTTAGGTACGGATTATAGATGTGAGGGTAGAGTTTTTTGGATTCTACTTGTATTCAGGCTTACAAAGTTTCTGTTACTGGATTTTATTAATTGCTGCTAATATTGACTGCGTACTGATTTTTTCGAAATTTTTGTATCAAAGCAAGGGTCATTGCATATGTCGAATAGTATAGAGGCTAAAATACATTGACAAAGAAATATTCCTCTCTTTAGCATTGATTATCATCTTTTTACTTTAGAAGTTCAATTATGTCAAATACATTTTAAAACTCAAGTGTGAGAGCATGCGTGACAATTTTTTATCTTTTGAGAATATTAAAATCCAAAAAGAAACAAAATTGAAAGAGAAGAGAGCAAGAAAACTTTACATGACTGCAACATCAATTGCTAGGCTAAGAAAGAAAATTTATTTTTGTAAGAAGTTGAAGTTGAAGATTGACGCCTACCTCAACTCTAAACCATTTTTGTACGAGTTATCATCGAAAACAAAGAAAGAATTTACAATAAAGCAATCATTTTTTATGATAGTCGCAATCATGCTAATATTCACTGCTGGATTTCACACAAAACAAGACACAGATAACCGATGCTAAATACATAACGTAGTCCACACAGAACAATCGGTTACATGTGTTTATAGTTACATTTTCACGTGAACGATGTCACTGGCGTATCTAGACAAATAGAAAACTTGAGATGGTTTTAGTTATTCTGTTTGACTAAACTTAGATCATTTAAAGTTGTCACTACAAACTAAAGGAGAGGATCTTTCATAAGCTGCATTACGTGCTTTTTTGGAATATATTCACAATTGCAACTTTGAGTAATAATTTTATTGTAGCTGAAAGGTTTTCTGAATAGAGACCATGCGCAGCAAGCAGGGAATCTAAGTAGAGATCATGCGCATTATCCAATGGCAGCGGATATGAACATCTTACATGAGCAACCTCTGCCTACTGCACTGTTAACTAGTTCACTATTTTTGCCTAAAATTGAGAACGACAAAAAGCTCAGACAAGGATTATAGAAGTGAAATAGATTGTTACCTTACAGCAGAAAATTTTCTAAAAATAAATACGAACTAATACAGACGCTAGAAGCTGTCAACGCGAGAGATTCACGTGTTTAAATGCAATCAGGGCGAGTCCCATTGTGCTTGTTGTTGCTCTTGAACAGCGCTCTTCATTTTCTGCCATGCCTTATGATTCGTTTTTAAAGCCATCTGCAAAAATAAAAAGGATAACAAGATATTTTCTACTTTTATCAATAATAAATAATACGCTTCATACGATACTAAAGCATTTTGTAGTGTAAAGCGCGAGAAAAAATTCACAATTTAGCTATTATCATTACCATTATCATTATTTTCAGTACAGAATTTGCTAATGCAAGCAACAAAAATCTATTTTCTGCTTTGTTCTTGGGTTCGAAACATAGAATATATAAATCTAAGTATTTTTTAACATAACCCTGATTGAGATTTTCGGCATCAATTCACCATCTTGCAAAATCAAAACATTAAACCTTTTAAAAATTGATAAAATAAACAAATCAATTAATAAAATGGCCATTATGTAAAACTTCTTCCACGGGTTTATGCTTAAATATTCGCAACTCTTGTTCAATTTTGATTTGATGGCTTGTTGTTTACTTACGTCAGCAATCTCTACTTTTCTTTCCCAGCTGTTTACCTGTGAAAACAGAAGTAGGTATTGGTCAAAACAATGCATAAAAATGCAAATGGAAGCATGGAGCTGTTTTTTTCTTTTAGCAATGATTAGTTCATTTATTCTTCACCAAATTGTTGCCTAAGCCAAAACTTTTTTATGTACCTGAAGAAACAAATTTAAATAAAGAAAAAAGGGAAATATAATAAAGTTGATATAGTAGTACAAAAAATTAAAACAATTATTTCGTTTGTAAAATGCATGATTGATATATAATTATGATGCAGTTTTCATTAATTGGTACTTCATACGTCTTCTTTCTTTCAACTAAGCCATTTTTTAAGCAAAGAAATAGTGGGAAGCAAAAATCTTAGATATAGCTGCATCAAATGCTTTTTTTGCAAAAGATATCAGTGTTCCTTTAATGTAGCGCAAATTACAATATGATATCACATTGCATTGACATTTCAATATCAGTTCTGCAGGTACACTTAAACTACCAATTTTACAATACAGACTATTACAATATTGATAGTTTGTTACCGATTTGCGCAAACTGTATAGATTTGCTTTTTCTTTGACATACTCCATAACCTGCCAGAAGAAAGAAACAATTCAATTCCAATTCATTAAGAATGATAAAAGCACAAAAGGATGACTCGAAAATGTACGACATTCTCCATTTGCTTCTTTTTCCTTTAAGCCAGCAACATGCCATTATGTCCTCGATCGCCTATACAGCAACGAAATCAATGGAAATTGCAACTGATACAAGAAGGTGTAGCAATCTAGGAGATATTCAGAATCAGAGTTTTAATGTTAATGAAAAAGTAGAAACATATAAGTAAAAGTAACAGTATTCGGCCATTATTAATATTATAGATGTGGAATTGTACTCAAAACAAATTTTTGTTAGATTATAATGAAGATAATTTGGAAAACGAAATTTTTGAACATGTTTGATAAAGGACAAAATTTAAAATTTTAATTCTGTTTTTATCTTCCGTTCGAAATATCTAACTTTCTTGAAAAATAACAAGCTTCTTACATCCGGGACTTTGTACTCCGCCAGCTGTTGTCTTAACTTTTTGTTTAGCAGCTCAGCGTCACGACGATCCTGGTAAAAACAATGGCGGAAAATGCCTCAAGACCTTCAGTTAGACCCCGTTTACACTGTGCCGGATAAATTTTATCCGCATCAAAATTAGTTCAGATAGGCGTCGCGTTTACACTAGACCCACGCTATCCGCACGAATTTGAGAGCGGCTATCCGAACAAAATTAGTTCACCTAGGAAAGTGGATTAAATTAGTTCGGATAGCTATGTGGTACAGTGTAAACGCTTTTATCCGGATACATTTCATCCACATCGTATCTTGCTCGAGAGCGATTGGCTATTTCATCCAATTTTGTCTCCCAATAAAGACCTTTCGTCATCTTGGCTGCCTTGTTGCCGATAAATACTCGTGTTAAAAGTGCAGTATCCTTGTCAGCTTTACTCACTTTCGCTGCTGGTTCAGTGTCATTTTGTTTCATGAACAAACTATTAAAAGAAACTAGGCCAAATTTGTATTGACAATATCTTTGGATTTGGTCTAAAAGAGAAGCAGATGATTCTGAAGAGAGAATGAATTCTTTTTACGTTGGCAGGAATTTTTTTATCATTTTGTTGCCCAGAGAAGACTTCATTTTGGGCGTTCTGTACATGATTTAGGTCATGTGACTGCAGTTATCCGGCACAGTGTAAACGGGAGGGCAAAATTTGCGCGGCACAGTGTAAATGCAAATCAATCCGAACAGTTTTTTGCGGATAAAATTTAACCGGCGCAGTGTAAACGGGGTCTTAGAAGTTACGGACATGCTGATAGTCAGTCTACAATACGTCGCCAATTTTATCAAAACAACGGAATCTATAAATCATTAATTGTTGCGGAAGAATTCACACGTAATGAATTAAAGATATGTTACGCACAAACTGCCAGGTACCATAAGCACAAACGCTAGCCTTCATTATTTTGGGGGTAAAATGCATTGGCATGCAGATCAATAGATGCAGAGCAATTTTCGGAAACAAGTAAGCGGTTTTATTGAGAGTATATACTTATGCATGTAAAATACAATTCAGAAAATATACTAGCTCTGTTACTAAGTTTGCACAAAAACATCCAGTTTACTATGGAAGAGAGTAAACAAACAATCAACTTCCTGGATGTATAGATAATAGTTGAAAACAACCAACTCATAACAGTTCTTTACCAGAAACCCACGGATAGCCAACAATATGTTCATTTTAAATCTTGCCACCCACCGCACACCAAAAGAAATATTCCATCCAACCTTGCACGGCGTTATTGCACAATCATCGAGAAAAAACTTCAAAGGACAACACATACTTTATATAAAATCAACACTGACCATCATATTAAAGATAGACTATCCCAGAAATCTCATCGTGCATAGTATTCAGCAAGCCAAGAAAATCCCTTTAGAAGAACTTCGAAGCCCAAAGGAACACAATACCGAAAAACAGTCATTAGCTTTTATCACTATGTTAAATCCCCGCAACTTCAACATTCTCAAAGTAATAATGGAAACGATTTCAATGCTAGATGCAAGCCCCAAAATGAAGCCATGATGGCCAAATTCATCCTTATTAACAATAAACGACAGCCTGCCAACATCAGACAGATTCCTTCAAGAGCTAAATATTGTTCAAATCAAACAGCAGAAATAACAGCAAGCTTAACTAGTTGGTCTGTTTACAAATGCGACGAAAAGAGATGTGGAACCTGTGCAATTATCTTGGAACGCAACGAGATTAAATTTAAAAGATCTCAAGTTCCCGTCAAAATAACATGCAAAATGGGCTGTACTGTATCTAATCAAATATGGGGGATGCGATAAAGAATATATCGGGGAAACCTCAAATTTAAGAGCCAGAATGAGAGTCCACAAGCAACAACTCTAGATCCACGGCTACCAAACTTATACGTGAACCATCATATAGCACACTGCGCTATTGGCAAACCAACATTACTTAAAGTTGTGTCTTTTTTCTGTCAACCGTGATGACAAAATATACCGAGAAGAAATATAGAAGTGTCTTGTAAGAAAATTTAAGCCAGCATTGAACCGAGAATTTTTAGTAGATAGATAATGGCAAACGAGGCTGAATAAATATGACGTCAAATTTGCAATGTCTTCAGTAAACTAATGTAGAACTCGCAGATATATTTAAATGGGCTGATGATTCCTCGTTGAAATGATGATACGCGTTCCAGAATAATAATAAATTGTCTTTTTTCATTGTCTTTCTAAAACATTTCATTGTTTTCATGTATATATATGTATTTATATATGGACGTCGATAGAGAAAATGATAATTGCTGAACTAACTTTTTCACCGTCCTTTGTTTCTTTATCAATCCTGCTTCGCATTTCATCTCTCTGTCCAATTTCACCTTTGAGCCTATCAGATTCCGCTGTCAGCAAATACAACTTTTTCTAAAAAAAAACCAAACACAGAGCAATTAGAATATAATTTATTTGCATTTTCATTTTCATTGTGAAAGAAGTAAGGACTGAATATTTGATTTCGCAAAAAATTCAAACGATGATAGACGACGATGATGATGGAAAACGATTCATGACTGCATTGATGTTTGACAAATAACCAATTACTCTAGATAACTAGGACTTTTAAGTAATACTGTACTAGAAAAAAATGAATTTATCAACGACGTTGTTAATAAATAACATAGTTATATTCTATTATATTGTACAGCATGCGAGCTAGAATATTTATGGAACCAATTAATGAATCGACAAAAGACCCAACCTTATAAGTATTCAGAACTTGCAGAACATTTCCAGCCATGAGTTTCAGACGAAGTAGATCTTGATTTCGTTCATCGATCTTCTCAAGGTACTGACTGTTTTCGATCTTCAATTGGTTAAAATCAACCTCATGCAGTACTTCTCCCATTTCTTCTTTCTTAAATGTAAAATAATGTTTGATAATGTTTGAAAGGATAATCTTGCTGTATTACCTCTTTTTGACTAGAATAGCTTCAACTATAGGACTTCAATTGAAACTATCAAAAAAATTTACGATCACTGAGAAAGAAAAATGAGACGTTAGAAGACAAAAAAGACAATGTATTAAAAACAGAAAGATCACTCCGAAATACCTGTTTTAATTGCAATTGCAGCTTCTTCTTAAGAACCTTCAAAGTTGTATTTTTCAGACGCAGCTTTTCGATTAAAGTGTCCTGAAATAATAACAAATGTTCTATGAAATAAATCAGATATTTATCACAAAGAAAATATATCACAAAGCAAGCAGGTAAGAAGGGTAAAAATTAAAAAAAAAACATAACTAGATCCTGCTATCTCGCTCATCTTTTATTTTCAATTTATTCTCTGCTGGAGACTGCCTTTCTCCAGTTGGAGAGTATTACATCACAAACAATAATCTGGTGAATATGTCAAACATATTAATCGACATATAAAAATACTCTCGCAAGAACAAGAAGGGGCTGAATATGATCTTACACGAGAGCGAACTTTGTCTTCTAAATATCTCATCAGTTTTTCTGCAACAACTTTCTGTGTTCTCTGCAAAGCAAAAATAGTTTTTGAGATATTAAATCGACCTCACTTTCAAATAATGTCTAGAATACATATCATCTGTAAATGTATACACTCTTAACCGTGGAAGAAATATTACATGGTTCCAAATTAGCATCATAAACTTTAGCATCTAACTGATCAGTAAATGGCAGTATTCACAAATACGTTGCTTTTAATGAAAAGAAAATTATTCAGTGAAAAGATTCAATTATCAAGCTTATGCTCAATCTATTTATCACTTGCTCAATTTTGTTTCATTATTGAGCAAAATATTTGATGTACACGACGAGGCATGAGTAAATGATATGATAGGAATAAAACTAATAGATTGAAAACTAAAACCAACGTTATACATGGCTAAGATTGAACAATTTTGGGTTCAATTTATAAAGATATTTAATCAACCAAATTTGTCTAATTTTTAAAAAGCTTTGTTTTCCAAAAAGAGTTCTTTAGCCTGGATTCCTCTTCGGGTTGGTACATTATCTATTTGAATTAGGAATACAAAGAAATCTTACGGTATTCACAGATCCGGAAACAATGTCTCTATTGAATTCATACTGCGCTTTCTTCACTTCAGCAAAACGAATGTCTGCCTCCTCCATAACTGCCTGTTATAGACAAATGTATGTTTTACTCATAAAATATTAAAGTTGTGTGTGGATTTTTTTCTAAATAACGACAATATAATGAGCGAATGAATAGAGTACCAAAATGATCTATAATAATTTACTTCATATTTGTACTTTATCTGTTCGCCCATCATATTTCATGTTTTACTTGGCTAAATGCAAATATAACTCTAATGAAGCTAGCAGACATTTAATAAAAATGTGCTTACTACTCGTTGGTAATATTCAGCGACAAAAAAACCTACTTTGTAATTGTCTAAGATTTTATCGGATTCTTCTTTCAGTCTTTCAATTTCTTCTCTCAGTTCCTCAAGCTCCCTTGTTGCAATGTCGCACTTCTGCTCTGCAGTTAGTTTCAGGTGTCTGTAAAAATAGAAAAATCTTACAATAAATACGTTTCGAATTCAAAAGAAAATAACTGAATCATTCTTTCATAGTGTAAAAATTTCCAATAGTTTCTTCTTGTCGAGAAATTAGCTATTTATCTCTAAAGAAGGCAATCATTAATACCCTGTGAGCTATTTATTTATGAGTCCAATTTGCCTTTTTTATCATTCAAGGAATCAAGTCGAATAAATTGCTCAGTTGATGTTAGTTTTTGGTAAGAAACAAAGCGCCGTCATACATTCAAGTCATGTGGTGACATGTTTGCCTCCTTTTAATGAAAGCTTGTCAAGTACCTTGATTATTAAGAAGATCTAGGGCATGCAATGTTTCATAAAAATTTTAGAATCAGAAGGCAAAAAGAAATTATTCCCCACTGTGAAGCCTCGTGTCGCCTCTGGTATAAAGACCAAGTTCTTATCTATTTAAAAGGAATGCGTTCCTACTAAGCTAAAAAGTTTAGCTGCTTATGAATTTTTGTGCTGATGTACAGCTCGGTATGTAGGACGCACCAGCCAGTGATAATTTGATAGAAATAAATAGCATGTTCCCACGAGCATCTGGCAAAAACAGTTTTAGTGACGGAAAAACAACGATGGGATAGAAAACAAATTGTGATTCGACTTTGACCATAAAACAACATTTGCTTGCTTATCAAGATTGCATCAAAACGCGCATAAACAGAGTCATATTGCAATTTCAAAATTTTAACACCTGTCTCCATCAGAGCAAAAAATCCTGATTTGTGTAGACAGACGCAGTTTGCTTGCCAAATACGGCTCTATAACCACGCAAGGGATTAATAGTACCTGATTGGTCAAAATTTTCATTGCTTCTCATATACTGAGAAAAGTAGTCGGACGAAAAGTAGTACTCGAGTATCCAGGATTATGACTTAGCTTTAGTGGAATTTTTAAGGAAAAACATTTGTAAACAACATTTAATCAGCTTTTATGAAGTTTCCTTTGAATTTTACGCAGATATCTAGATCGATGCCCCATAATCACTTGATCCAAAAGGGTGCAAATGAAATTGGTGTTACAAAACGTCTATAGTTACACCCAATCTTGTGTAACAAACAACCTTGCTAAGGGTTGTATGAATTGTTACCTTGATATGGGAAAAAGAAAGAATCTTTACTAACTTGTCTAGAGAATGACCACGAGACCTTGAGCGCTTTCTGAAAGTCCTTGGTGTTGCGTCTTGGCTGTGAGATGCCTGTGCTGCAAACACAGTGAAAATTGATAACAAAATGCTGCTAGGAAGCAAAAGTTATTTCTCATGTTGGATTGAGAATTCTATATCATACTAGAGAATGTGTCACAGATTTTAGTTATAGAGCTTTTCAGCAACTTTTCTTTCAGAGTGGGGGATAATTTTAGGGCAGCACTTTTCAATGCAGAAATAAATATTTATGCCACAAAACTTTAATCTTTTGTGTATCTGAGGCAATGTTATTAAGCATACTATTCTAGTGATATTTCAATGTTCAAGTTGATAGCATATTAATGTGAAGTTTCAACTCACCTGTTGTAGATGACTGCAAAGTTATATCCTTTGGATCAACTCTTTTGAGGTATTTTTCAAACATGGATGTTTCAATCCGCAAAACTTCATTAGCACGGCTAGTATTGGATGAAATATATTATAGATTCAGTATTATATTGTTCCTTACCAGCTATAGGCTAGATAAAGTATGCAGGGGGGGATAACAACAAGCAATAACAGTTAAAATTTTATTTGGTCTTCGTGGTTCAGCACTGTATCTTTAACAAATTTTGTAAATTTTCTAATCATGCTATACAATTAAACATAATGTGGCAACAAATGCTAGACATCTTCTTCTAGACATCTTTTAGTTGCTTTGAAATGTGATGTGCGCTAAGCAAAAATTTTTCAGTTAACATGATTGTGGACCACATCAATGTATGATATTGTCACTTCACCAAAGTGATTATCTTCCAATTGCATAAAAACAGGCCTTTTCACATTAAGTGGGTGATCATAATTATCCTCCCTATCACCCTTGCCAAATTATTAACGTGGGACATTGACCACCCTAGCAAAAACATGTTTCGCTCGCAAGTGAGAGTAGAGCACTGAGGGAAAAGTAAGCAACAAATGTCACTATTACTGTTTTCACTATTATTCAGTTCACATCTTCTGGCGATGTTGCCAAGGATTTCCCTCGAAACATTTTAGCTGAGCATTTTGTAAAAATCGAAGTGGGATCCATCAAGAGAGGGGGGGGGGGCGTTTGGAAATTTGCCATTCCAGTCATTTTAGCCAAAATTTTGCACCGAAAAATTGTTGGTAGGACCTTTATTTGAAGATTTTTTTACAAGACAACAGGTGAAGAATTCCACAAATCCTTAAAACGTTATAAAGATTTTGTATCCCATGCATCATTTTCGAAAAAATTCCATGTCTTGCAAATGTGTAGAATTCCCTCATTCCATCCAGAAATTACCAGATTTCCGTCATTCAAGACAAATTTTGTGAACAAATTTTCTTCAAAGTCCATTGTTCCTTAAAACTTGATGACCCCCACATTGAACATTGGTTACTCATAAGTGAGAGCAACCAATATTGATAATAAGCAACAGTGATAAGAACCAAAAAGTAATGGAAAGAAATGCTATAATAAAAACAGCTGTTGATATCTATTTAGAGGACAAACGTAACAATGCTATAGAGGAGTCTCCATGTAAGAGACTTTGTCTTGAAGGGAGGATGAGGGAGAGAATTTTTCAACTGAGTCAGAATCTGACTGTGATTCATACACTAAAGAAGAACTTTAAGAAGTCAAACTTCTAGATTGTTTTGATTGATTTCAAGTTTTTGGAAACAAAGCATCATCTCCTCATTGTTCACATTATAAATCATTACATCAAATATTTTGGCTACAAACTGGTGGTAATAAGGCATTTAGAAAATCAAAGGTTAGGCAATTAGAAAATACCCTAATTCCCCCTCAGGTCATGAAGGACTTCCTTTAACAAATAGTGTTGGATGGGCGATCACCCTCGTAAGCTGATCCATGCGGGCAGTTTGTCACGATTGCAAAAAATTCTTTACAAAAAGACCAGCATATAAATTGTCATTGAATTATTGCAGTTTTAATAATTGCTTTAAAGCATTGAGACCAAGTGCCACAAGCTAAGAATCTCATATTTCATTTTCAATTTGCACCAGTTTTGAAAATTTCTTTAAACTGAACAGTCTTTTTACTTATTTTCTAGGTTTCACATCCTTTCCATGCACAGTATGCAGTGAAAGAATAATATCCTGTGAAGATTCCTATTTTCTACTCATACTGCGAATTAAATGGGAAAACTGTATCTGTTTGAAATTAACATAAAGTCCCAATTGAAAGAATTATTATAGTTCCTTTAAACTATGGGAAGACATGTTGTTACAGTTACACATCAAGTAATAGGGAGTTTTGTTTCATTAACTTGTATACTATTCATTTAATTTATTCTTTCAATATGTTATGAACTTGTCTGTAATAATATTATCATCACTAAATTGTATGCAGTGGAACTAAAAACTCAGAACTGAACTGAGACAAATGTCACACGGTAAAGTTTGCGAATATGAAAAGTATGGCAACTGTACACCCAAGATATCACTGCAGACTTGATTAAATGGGTGTGTCTCAAAAAGATTGAACTCAATTTCCATCAAAATCTGTAGCAATAAATCTAAAAAACACTCTATTTTATGAAAATATACAGTGGGCAGTTCTTCCACCTGCCAAGTTGAAGCAAGTCTGTTCCCTTCCGCACCCCTTTCAAAGAACAGTGCTATCAGTTAAGAAAGTTTGTGAGACCTATAGGTTAATTAACTTCAGCATTACCTCAACGTTAACTCATTCATTCTGAAGAAGAGCCATGTTTACTGGACATGAAATCACGCTTTGGAAGACAAGCAAGGCTATCCACAAAGTTGTGTTGTCTTTAATTCCTGCCTTCATTCAAACTGTGCTCAATTTTTGTGCTTAAAAGTTTTTCTATTTTCATGTCATAATCAAACCAAACAGAACTATGGAGCATAATTCTGATATAATGTTTTTCAGTTGTGCCAAGGACCCAATTGATGCTGTAAATATTCCAGACCCATTTTCTGGCTATCCTCAAAATGCAAATTTTTGTTGTGCTACTAACCATGGTAGCTTACGGTAGCTACTTTGGATCCTAGCCTTTCTGGTCGGTCAAAAACATGAGAAAATGCTGTAGAAATTTTGAAACCTCACAATCAGATTTAAAGAAATCTAACACACGAGATTGCCTTTTGAAAGAATCGATTTTTACTCACATGTTATCTTCAACTAGCATGTGAAGCTCCTCATCAGTAAGTTCACCAAGCGGCTCTTCATCTTGATCTAAGGAGCTGCTCAGTTCTACGTCTGATGTGTAGGAAGCCATTTCTTCGTAATCTGGAAACAAAAACTTATATTTATCACAAATCTAAGGCAGTTTATGACCCGTTTCCATTAGTTACAGCCTCTCTTTCGATAATGTCTCGTAATCAGGATATAATTGGGGGTTCATATTATGGTGGCTGAGAATAAAATGATAAGATTTTCAGACAGCATTTTGCTTACAAGAGCCAAAATAATGATATTTCCGAATATGTTACTCTATTGGGTGGGGAAGGCTGGGCTAATGGTCCTGTATGGATGAAAGCTTTTTACACGGCACATGTGCCAAGAGCAATGTCTCATTTAGGTGCACGTGTTGGTGCATTACCTCTGATCCAGGCACGTAAATAATAGGGGGGCGTGGGGGGCGTAACGCCCCCCCCCAAAGTTTGGAAAATCCAGTTACAGTTGGAAAACGTAACGGTTGACTTGGAATTTTTTTCTTAGGCCTAAACTTGTGAATTTTATATTTTAAGAAGTTTTTTTATTTTAAATATAAAAATTCTAAATATTAAAATTCACAGGCTGAAGCTGACCCATCCAATCGTTTTCTATTGTGAATCCCGTCTCCACTGGATCCAAATTGCACACTTGCCCCGTTTTCTTTTTTTTCTTTCTGACGGGAGTTGAATCAAATTACGAACAGGCAAGGTGAACTTACGGATAAGAAACTTGAAACTTACAGTTTGGAATAATAATACCCGCATTGATCAGAAAATATTAGAGTGGGAATTTTTTTAGAAACTACGAGTAGTTAATTCAATAAAAGATTAAGAATCTTTCAGTACTAAAAATTCTCAACGCTTCTTATAAAAAACGAGTTTATGCTAAACTCCCCCTGTTATTTGTTAATGTCCTTGAGTCCTTATCATAAATTCCTATGACAAAACTGCTGTGAAGCAAGAACACATTGCAAAAACTGCAGTGGAAGTATTTGATCAAAGAAGAGTATTTCATCTTTCGAATCAGGCATATGCACAAGTTTGTTCTCAAATCACCATTTCAATTGTAAAGAAGGAAAAGGCATTTGGCCCTCTGAAAAGTTTAAAGGTAGTTTTCTTCGATCAAGAACGAAAATAAAAGGCCCAAATTCTTGGTGCTTCTATATCGTGAAAAAATGTATTTTAGATAAAATTGATCAATTGATCTGAAAGAATACTACTAATCATTAAGTATATCTAATACTGGTTTTGCTTAAATGTTGTTTTACTTCTTACAGTATGTTTAATGTTTGTTTCATGTTAATCAAAATTTAGAGATTTAGGCTTTTATGCTTTAGGCTAATTATTGAGTAAAGATTTGGTAATTATAAAGAAAATAAAACTATGGTGTTCGGGCTATTTACAAATATCAATTTGGTAGGTACAACAGATCTACTGGTCGAATGAAAAATTTATCACATAAAGTTGGAATTTTCATACTTCCACGCCCCCCCAAAATTAGCAACTTGTTTTCGTCCCTGCTCTGATTTTCAGTTCAGGTGCACAGTAGATATTCCTTCATACTTAGTAAAAGCGTTGTTGGTTCTTTCACTAATGAATTTTGTTAGATTATAACATTAAAAATATAATTTCTCACCTCAATGTTTGCAGATGCATAAAGTTATGATAGCTTGTCTATTTTTTCCAGAACCCGAATAATAATTTTAACTATCTACACAACTATAAATAAAACAGCTCAATAAGAGGATTAGCTAAAACAAAGGGAATAGGAAAGCTAGGCTATATAGCGAATGTAAATAAATACCATAGAAATATTAGCTGTTGTGCGTAAGTGCAAATATATGGCTGAATGTATGGCTGATTTAAGTGTGAATAAAATGTCCTTTTATAAGTTCACTATACATTTTCCAGGAATTACTAAATGTGATGAGCGTAGCGTAAATTGATAATCTCTTATAAATCATGGCAGTCTTAGGCCCTCTCGTTGATTTTGCGACCAAACATGTAACATTGATTTTGCGACATGAAACTTGTTTTACACAACAGTTGCGGCCTTGCAGAGGGGCTGGGAAGACCAGGCCCCCAGCTGACTTTTTAAAAGGGGCGCCAAATCTCGTAATAGGCGCTGAAACTCTAAAAAGTTTGATACAGAATCAATTATGCGACCGACTTGTCTCGTTATTAGGTTTCTAGGAAGCCAGCAGAGACAAAGTAGACACCCAAAAATTCAAAATTTTCTGGGGATGTATGCCCCCATACCCTTTGTCCAGTCTCAATTTCAGAGCGTGTTATTGTGCCGCGTCAGTACTGTTTAATGCATACAAAACATTTGTACTGTTAGCAGGGGCGCAAGCAGGGCCGTCGTGATTCAAGGCTTTTGGGGGAGGGGTGTAGACTACAAATTTTCCTGATTGAAAAATTATTGCCTGAGATTCTTGCTGCCACAAACCTCTGCAATACATTTTGTCAATCTAACTTGTTTTATCATAATTTGCAACTTTTATTATTATATGATAACAACTGACTATCCTAATAGTCAAATCTGTATATCGGGATGGGCAAAGGATATAGTTACTACCCGAGGCGGCATCATGGTTGCCACCGAAGGTGCAGAGAATTTTTGAATTTTGATGCTTCCAGCTCATTGGAAAATGCATTCTTTTAAGCAAATTTCACTAAAGAAATTCTCCTAATCCTGTGAAAATTATTTTTCTTGCAAACAAATTGAACAGCAAATAAAAATACGACAGGTAGAATTTCACCGTGGTCTTACATATACCATGTTGACACGTTACTTCTAAAGCTAGGTAACAAGCATCACTAGTTGTCAACTTAGATCCCTCTTTTTATCTTAGCAAACCTTTTGAACGTTAAAAGAAATGTGGGGCCCATTGTGAACTGCAGTTGACGCTCTTACCGAGAAACATTAGGGGAAATGGACACAAGGCACAGTTTTAGTAAAGAGGGCCTGGATTTTGGATTTAGTGCCAACAAGAAATATTCAAATCTTCAAATCATCAGTTTGTTTACCTTAATTCATATCAAGGAATACTGTATCATATTTAACCAACGGAGCAACTACCTTTGCTTAATCTTTTATTGATTCTATTGTATGAAGGTCTCTGAAATACCTGAAGCGTTTCTTCCACCGAGCGGATTTTGCCTAAAATTTCCTATTGAGATACTATTGGGGTGTGACACCGCCAATTGTGACGTATTAACATTTCTGTAGCAGTTGAACTTTCAAAATAGGGCACTAGAGTATAAAATTTGAAACAGAAACGCATAAAACAGCATGTAAGAGCATTTATCTTTTGACCACACCCTTAAAGATTGAGATACGCCTTTTTGTCGGCAAAAAATTTTGTTGGTTTTACCACTGATTCGACGCATTGATTTTATTTCTCTAACGAGCAGAAACTTCAAGTTTCTCTTTTCAAGGGGCATACATTGAGTTTGCCAAGAAAGTTGGGGACGGCCCATTTCTTTTAACGGGTGCGTCTGATTTGGGTTTTCATAATATTTCTTTAAGGTTCGCTAGAGTATTTACTTCAGTTTGTATTATATAACATAGTCTTATGATCATTTCTAGCATCTTTCATTCGTGTCCAAGTGAATTCAAAGATATTAGAAACCACATTTTCTAGCCTTTTGAGTAACTGGAATCCTCCACTTATTGGCTAGGTCTTTCCATTATTTATTACCCCCACTGTGATGCCACTGTGAACACCTATGTGATGCCGGTTGTACTCTGTGGTTTAGAATGTGTCAACTGGACCTCGGAATCCTTGCAAAAACTTTTCGTTTTCCAAAATCATATGACGAGATTCATGACAAACAAACGACTATCTGATCATACGCGAATTGAAGACCTCCTTAGTAAAACAAAGCTCATTCCCATCACATCCACAATTGAATCAAAAGTCCTGAAGCTCTACGGTCACAACAAACGCTGTTCTCAAGGCGTAAGCAAAATCTGCCTCGAAGGAATGACAGAAGGCAAGAGAAGTAGAGGAAAACAACGTAAACGATGGCAAGACAACATTAGCCTTTGGACTGGACGAGACCTGATGTCGCTGAGCAACGCAGTCAAAGACCGGAATTTATGGGGACAATTGTCACATGTTGATACGCAATCTGCCGTAGGCGGAGAAGGCGGACGATGATGATTACCCCCACTCTCCTAATTTGCACCCCTGATTGTTTGTTGTGTTATTGCTGTTTTGAGTTTGTTCAGTTGCCTCCAAGTACAAGTTTAGCATAACAAAGGCAACTATTTTATCTGGCGCTTTAGATTCCAAGGTTACAGATGAACACAACAATAACAAAGAGAATGAAACCCATACTATACCAAATCGTAGGGTCTCTTGGAATTTCCCCAAACTTGACACATATTTTCTATATTTGTCTCCTTGGTTTGGCTTTAAAGAGTCCGTCTATTTTTTACGCGAGTCGATTCAAATTGTCCCGACACACCCATGAAATATTATTTAATTTGCGACGATGTGCTCACGTGGAGATCAGTCCATCCTTGACAGGGTTAAAAATCGTAAGACCATCACCAGCCTGCAAACCTTGTCAACAGTGGGGTAGCCAGGGTTGGAAGATTGGAGGGGCAAAGAGGAGCTGGACAGCTATGGGGTCGAAGGTTTACCCCGGGAAAATTTTTGCTGACCACACCCTTAAATATTTGCGTAAACGCCCCATTTTGTAAATGTGTTTGGGAAAGCTATGGCTTTTCTATGTGGCCATGGTTGGCTGATCAAACATAAAAACCGTCATATGTGGCCTTTTGTGGCTGACCCTATTCAACAACTGTCTATTTCTATTCCAATTCTTCTAACGTTTATACTCTGAATTGAGTAAGTACCAGTTTGTCGCGCTTATATAAAAGTTGGTTCTGTCTGTTAACTTTAAGATATATTGCGAGGATATGTCTGCAAATGATTACGAAGAAACGATAAATAACGCCAACAAAAATTTTGTGACAGAGAGTGAATCAGAATTGGACCATGGATTCGTGAATTTAGGTACGTACGATCTGGGGACAATTCATTTAAAACAGATTTAGAAATCAGATGCATGCATATGCCTGTGTGTCCAAATCCAAGGCGTGTCCTTGGTTACCTATCATTTTAGCATAACGAACAAGCAGCTTTCTTTTTACCACCAATGCTATTTTTATGGCAAATGGCAATGAAAAGCCCCCACCCCAAAAAAAGTTATGGAAGTCCTTTGTTTCTTATGAACAGTTCATTTTGTTCCTATCATTCTCAAGTAATTGAGCCCTCTCCCCTCCTAAAAACAATATCCATGCTTCAAGTACAGTGGTACAGGCCCATAGCCAAGGGGTGGCATGCGGTAGCAATGCCACCCCTGGAGCAAGAGAGTGCCGGCTGTTTGCCATTCCCGAAAATTTTCTTTTAATTTCTAATGTAGTTTTTCTTCCTTCTCGTTGTGACAATTTGATTCAAGCTAATACTGGCGGAAAGAAAGATTCTTATTGGGGTCTATTATTACCCATGTAGAACTTAAAATTATTCCTGGTGCTCGAAAAAACTTTCGCTGCAAAGCAAAATCTTCACAGTGGTCATGGCATTTCAAAATCACAAGTTATGTGAACAAGAAATTTTGTGGACAATATTCTGTAGTATAGACACCCAATGGAAATATCAGTGGTCAGCAACATTCATCGAAGAAGAGCCCTTGTTCCCAATGCCCAAGCACTTTTATGATTTTGTCAGAACCGACAGTGATATTTTCAGTGTCAGTATTTGTTCCCATTAACTCTAGCCACCGCCCTCTTCCTTACCCCTACAAAAACTTCACTTTAAGTTTTGCCTGCATTGAACACGGGCTGTTTGCCACTCCTACTCATCACGCCTGACTACGGGCTTGCAGAGGTATAGAGGTCTATTCAATATTCATAACGCACTTTTGTTTGTGAGAAGTGCCACATGGTAAAATATTTCATCTTTCAATCGTACCAAGAGGAAAGTAGTTAGGGCGGTGGCAGACAAGGAAGGTCTGCTCATTAAAGCACTCTAAAGTTTTATAATGATGAAAAGCTTTTTCGGTGTCCCCACATTCAACATCCCCCGCAAGCTGAGATTTTATTCCCCAGTTAGTCTCAAGACCATGAAAGCCGGGAGCTTGACAGCTCCAGCCGCCCATATAATTTTTAAAACTGCACTGAATGCAATCCAAAATAATTTTGCTTTTTGGGTCTCAAATGTTTAGCCAACCAAACATTCTTAGCCTCCAGCCATTAGTGGGATCGACGGTTTACTGCTCTCCGACAAAACGAATCTATAAACAATCACTGGCAGAAATCATGGCTTCCTTTAGGGGGGAGGGTGGCTCAGGCACACGATTTTCTGACAAGATAATATCTTGGATTGGCTTACGGCACGTTAAAAATTTGCCAATTATCCGACAAAAGCCCGAATTTTCTGATGAGAACGCCAGTGCCCCCTCCCATGCCCCCATGAACTCTGCCGCTGTAAGCCATTTTAGATTTACCTATTTAGCCCTATTTCCTATTTGTCTCCCGAGCCTAAATTTTTCCATCCCTTTTCAATCTAAAACCAATTTTCTAATTTGGATGTTTTACTATGGTAGCCTATTACTCGTAGAAATATTGGCAATGCTAACGCGGTGTAAAATCGTGGGAAAATGTCAACTTGCTTGCCTTCATTCTCGAGATATTAGACCTGAATCCATATCTTTTTGTTTCGCAATAAAGATGGTTTTTGGAACAGCGTCATCTAGCAGTCTTACTCCAGTGCCGCCGGAACGAAATTCATATCGGGGGGGGGGGGGCTACCAATTGCTCCTATTTATTACACTGTTATAAAGGAAATATAGTACAGTTTGACGACTATTGGGGGGGCGGCGCTTCAGTCCCCCGCTTCCGATCAGTGGTGTGGTGGCAGGGGGGCCATGGCCCCCCCTGAATAGAGGCGCAAATTGAGATAAGGGGGCGCCAAAATAATTTGCTTGTAATATTTGGCTATGAACATCAAACATGATCGTGCACGGGTAGAACACTTCGCTGTAACTCGCTGTGAACAATCTAATAAAACGTGTGATTCTACAATCGAAGCACGTTGCGCTGCCATGACCCAATCAACATTTGTGTCATATGTTTTCGTGTTAACTATGTACGTGGCTTCATGTTTAGCACGCCAACTAAAGCCCCGGCAAAACGACTGGACATTTGCGCTGGTCACACACTGGACATTGCGCACTTGTTTAGAGTATGGACATCAAAAAAATATTGGTGGTGGCAAAACGACTGAACATTGTCCAGTGAACTTTTTCCCTGTTGAAGAATGCGGGTGGGAAAACTGGCAACAGGGCATCTCTTTACCTTTGAAAATACACTTTTCATAGCCCTAACCGTGTTATCGTATAAATTAGAGTGTATTATTGACAAGTGGCTAGGACAGCTAGGTTTATCAAAATCACCGTACTCCTGCTCTCTGACATCGCTTTCCTTATCGGAACCAAAGCTAATCTGATCGGAAGACTCGTCGTTACTAATAAAATGCCTTTCTGCTATTGGTCGAATTGAATTTTCACGTTGTTTCCATTTCGTTCGCGGTGTTGACTAGGAAAGTTTGTTAAAGATTTGAATAATGGAAATAAATTCGCGCCAAATCCTATCCATTACATTCATTGCGCGTGCGGGAACTGGACAATGTTCAAACTCAAACTCAAACTCAAACTCAAAATCTTTATCAGCAAAAACAAATGTTAATTACAATATACCAAGAATTAAAATTTAGAATACAAAAGTTAGCATTTTCAAAAATTTAATTAATTTATTACATCAGATAAAGTAGTTTGTTATGCTGAAGGACACATGAGAAAAACTCGCCAGGAGCTATCGAGTCATATGTCCCAGTGACGTATTTAAACTCAAGATTATAATTTCCATTTCAGTTTGAAGTAGTCTATAACAGTAAGAGTAAAAAATTAAGGATGTAAGAGTATAGAAAAAAAATATATATATATGTATACAGGCGGTAGGCTGGTAAATTTCACTGGTTAGGGATATGTTTAAAAAATTAGAACAAATTCTTATGGCTTAGGAGTTCTGTAAAAGGTATAGTTTCATCATCTTTTTGAAGGCATTTTTGTTGCGGATATTCTTCAGTTCAATTGGCAAGGAGTTCCAATGCTTAACCCCATCAAATGTCAGAAAGTTTTTTTTGAAATTTGTAGAGATAGGGATAGAGAGAGAAATGTCCAGTCGTTTTGCCGGGGCTTAACGAAGATTTTACGTATGCCAAAATTTTTTCTACTAGTTTGTACTCGGAACGCCAAAAAGCCTGACTGTACGCCAAAGATCTTTGGGCCAAAGTACATAGAATGTACCCTGGCAATCAATACAGCAGCTTCTTGTTATTAACATCGATGTGCACCAAAGGTCACCCTTTTTTCCCCAGTGCATGAATCCTTCCCTCCCAAATTTTTAAAAAAAATAAAAAATCAATGTTTTTCTGAGCATCGTCGAAATGTCTATTCTGAGCGGTGTAGTAATTTGTTAAATTTTAGTCTGGGAGATGCATTTTTAGCCATTCTAGAAGGCTTGATTTCAAAAATTTTCTTGCGCGTCGGACCCAACCATGATGGGTCCTCCTTTATCACTAAACTTGATCCTTAGCCCAACACCAGATTCAATTTTGTGGCGCCGCCTCTGTCCGATTCAATAGTGCGATTCAAAGCTTGAAACATTCAAGTTTTTGAAAGAACTACTATTAAACAACTACTAAAGAATAACAATTTTGAACCATGTTTGCATATATCATACATCATATATGCGATGACACTAGACTGATAAAATCGCCCATAAGCAGTGGCGAAGTGGACTAAGGTTGCCTTTAGTTAAAAAACTAAGAAGCCCGTAACAAAAATTTGCTCTACGCTATTTTACTCTGAAGCTGGTTTTCTGGATATAATAAACAAGTAGCCTGAATGAAACATCAGTGTAATTGAATAAAATGGCTTTTGCTTAGTATTTTATGTTTTGCCTACCGTATTTCCTCGAAAATAGGCCGACTCTCGAAAATAAGCCAATTCAAAATAGCTTGATATTTTACCGAAACACGATCGAGAAGGTAAAATGTTAGGATTACATAACTTTTCCATTCATATTCGCATTCTTAGTCAAAACTTATTTATGAAATTTTGGATTCAAGTTGCAAAAATCGATTTCCCTTCTAGAAACACATGTTTTTATATAACCACGATATACAGTATAGGTAGGGCGCAAAAATCTACTTGGCCACCCCAGGGAAAACATATCCACTCCGCCACTGCTTCCGACGGCCCTGAACTCTGATGTCGAAATCCTTGGCTAGCTCTTTTTTCTATTTTGTTGAAAGCAGCCCTTCTCAGTGGCGGTTTTTCATAAAATTGCTGGAAAGGCAACATTGTGTAATTTGCCGACTGTTACATGGTAAATGGTGTGGCTCATGGTAAATGGTGTGGCTCATGGTGAATGGTGTGGCTCATGGTAAATGGTGTGGCTCATGGTACATGGTGTGGCTCATGGTAAATGGGGTGGCTAATGGTAAATGGTGTGGCTCATGGTAAATGGTGTGGCTCATGGTAAATGGGGTGGCTCATGGTAAATGGTGTGGCTCAAACTAGTTTGCACTGTTTCAAAAATTTGATGACTTTCATGGTCCAGCAAAAACTAAACCTTTCTCTGAATAATAACGAGTTAACTCGAAATAAACTTGATGAGATATCCCTTACTTCAGTCTTTATTTGAATTATTTCAATTTCAGCCACTTTTCTGACGTGTTTGGAAAAGAATCTATTTTTTTCAAGGAGTTATAAACCTCCAACGTTCCATGAGGCAAGCTGTATAAACGTTTTTGTTTTAATTTGTATTTTTTGCCTCAATATCGTTTTCAGTTGAGAGAAGCTATAGCCCCTTGAGTTGTAGCTGACCAATCTCGTTTGTCTTTAGTTGTGAGAAAGACTCCTCAGCACTGGCTGTTTTAGCAAATTTCTTTGACAAGCTCTATGAAAATTAGGGGCCCTACACAGTCCGGTTTCATGCATGTACATTGCTTCACAAGTAACTTTCCCTTTCCCCCTTTCTCATTGTTTTTGGAAGCTTTTTATAAATACTCAACAGAGTTTAGGCATTTTGTGTTAAAATCTGGATCCTCTGACAATATATTTGACCAATCCTCCATATCGATTCTACTTTGCTTTCTATGGAAAGGAGTGCTATTGGGAACAAGGCCCCAAATGACTGAAGTATCAATGTCAGAATTCTTCTTAAAATGGCAAAATAGCAAATTCCAGATATTGCCGAATGGTAATTTTGCCGACTTCTGGACTCTAGGGGGGCAACTGCCCCCCTCACCCCCTATTTACCGCCATTGGCTCTCCGCGAAGTGTATTGAGCACGGGGAAAAATATTTAGAGGGGGTTAAAGCCAGGTCGGTGCCTCTAATCAAAACGCACCGAAAGCTGATGCCTCCGTTCTCTACAGATTTTTCGGGGAAATAGTGAGGGGATGCATGTTCTGCAGCTGGTTCCATCGTAATGATCTACCGCTTTGTGAAGTACGATTCGAAGTTGCAACGCTCGAAATGCCTAAAAAATCCAAATAAAAAATCTCCCTGACTCATCACGGTGCCCCTGAACTGGGTATTTGTGAATTTCAGTTTCTTTTTCATCCGAAATATCAAGAACATGAAAGACTATATAAACCCTAAAAAGGGGGAGATGGTAAAACATTCTGTAGAAGTACAGACAGACATTTTCTGTGACCACGTCTTTTTATTATTTGTGTAGAGAAAAGGAGTTCTCAGTCACAAACCAGAAAATGCTACCAAAAATATTGCCTGGGTCGGTAAAGGCATCGTTTATGATATTGGTGGCTTGTCAATTAACGATAAGGCAAGAATGTATAACCATGAGCTTTATTTTGTCACAAAGCACAGGGGGTCAATGTTAAGGCTGACATTCTTAGTGGGTTGACTCACAACTAGTGCTCACTCCAAGAGACGCCTTCTAGCATAAGTGCTACTCCTGATTGAATTTGATTGATTTTTGGAAATCAACTGGAGTATTTTCACAACACAGTCAGCTGTAATGAAAAACCGCTTATGTGTAGACAAAGGAGTTCGTTTTCACCTTAGGACTCCATTGGAAACAGTTGTATGCTCCATTGGAAGCGTTTCTGTTTGGCCTATTTCGATTCACAACTGGTTTTATAGATTTCCTGGTGTAGTAATTTTATCTTTGTTCTGATGTTTTATGCTTTAAACGAAATTTCTTAAAATAAAATAATGAGCATCTGGTACAGAGTTTCGAGCTTAACTTTTGACCTGATAAAAAGTTAATAGGAAGGAAGTTTGACCAAATTTCAACCTATAATTCATTCATTTTATTAGTCATGGTTAATTTCATAGTCAATTTCGAGGGGCATTTCACTACCTTAAATAGCGTACGGGATTTTTGGATTTTTAAAGTCCCTAAAATCTCTATAAGGATTTTTGGAAACAGATTTGATGGAGATTTCTGGATTTCTTGGTTTTTTTAAAGATTTCCAGGGATTTTCATGGACGTTAAACATTCTTAAATACAGTTAAAAATGTGTAACGTCATTAAAAATTTGACGTCGTGAAGTTTGACGTCATAAAATTTAGATTTCTAGAATTATTGAATTTTGACTGCATAACCTAAAAGAACACCATGAAATACCCAAGAAAAGCAAAAACGGTTAAATATATAACAATGGGTTATATATGGCAAATGAAAGATTAGAATTTTGCTAAAGGATTGCAATGTTGCGAACAGAGACAAAATTACAGAGGTCTCTGCAATTAATGAAAGACTAGCCTTATAAAAGACAAAATAATTTTTTTTCAATTTTCTACTTTAAGTTGCCCCTGTAATTTTTAATTACCCTTTTCCTCGGCAAACCATATTGTTGCTCTATCATTTTTGCTTCAAAATCATGCATTCAACATTGAATCGGGGGAGGGTAAAAGCAATTTTTTAAAGGAAAAGGAAAACATCAATTCTAGCTGAAAAATATTTTTGTACCGGATTATAGCCTGTGCTCGTCATCTCGCACCCAATTCGTGTGACGTCATTATTTGATAACTTGATAAAAATGTAATTAAGGCATGGGACTACGACTTTGATAACAGAATCGTTTTTATTGTTATTGTTTGTATTGTGTTATATTGTCATTTCTATATTTTATTGTCATGTATTGTTCGTATGTATTGTTTTGTATCGTATGCATTGTATTGTATTGTTATAGTTTGTATTGTATTGTTGTGTATGGTATTGACTTGATAGTGGATGAGAAATCTTTGCACATTGAAGCTGATTAGCCCTCTGATTTTGCTCCCTCCCTCCTCGGATTTTATCACCTTAGGAAGATGTTACATTTGAATAAAAAGAAAAGGCGGGAATCATTTTAGAACTTTGGACAATATATTTTAGACCCCCTCTCCATCTTCCCCACTAAATTCTTCCACGACACTCAAAATTTATCCTAAGAAATGTTTCAGATTTTTTCGTTTGCTTCTGCCCATTTTTTTGCAATAATTTATGCCCCCTCTTTTATCAAGATAAAATAAGGAACTTATTTTATCTTGCTTTTATTGATGACAGGAACAAGCATATGCTGCTTAAGATCCTAATCAACATTCAACTTTTCTCGGGGGGGGGGGGGTACATAAGGTCAAAATAGGACCAGCCCTGTCTAGGGGCCCCTCTGTTGGTAGTTATCGTAACCAAAAAAGCTCCAGCGCAGCAACCTCAATATTAGCACATTAGTTTCCGCAAACTTAATTTCCTTGTACTTTCATGCCATCATTTGCTCTTACTTGTTATCATTAAGTGTGTATATGATGATCTAATTCATTGTTAATGAATTATCTATGGAGAAATAATCGGTCAAAAAAGTAAAGTTGGTCACTTTTTTCTGAACGCCCCCCCCCCCCAAACAAAATTGCCTATGCACATCACTGCCTGTGCTCGGCTCTGCAAAAACTTTCACAACTATAAAAAAGAGATGAATTCGCCTCAGTGGGGAGCACTCTTGTTCTCGTGCCTGTTTTGCCTGTTAGCTCTTAATATAAAACACCTTTTCTACAACTCGGTTACGAGAACAAATGCCATATTTAAAATTTTCTTTTATCTTAATTGTGTTAACTACCAGGTGGCAGTCTTGAAAGGTTGTGTGAATAGAACTGCGCGGGAGCGTTGCAGGTACTTCCGAAGCTCGGCAGCGTCGGCAGCGTCCACAAACGGCTTCCATTGCAAGTTGGTTTGGCCTTCTTTGCTCGCAAAATCATAATTTTCCAGTTCAGCAATCCTGAAAACAGCATATGCTTTTGAACTATCAGATGACATAGAAAGTGCTTGATAAGGTAGGTTTTCAGTTCCAGTTCAGTAGAGTTACTATACTCTGAGTAGTCAATACTAAGGTCACTGGACTGCATGGAATGCATCCCTAAAATGTTTGGCTCAGCGCTCTCGTGAAAGATTTTCCTCTTTCAATCGTATTAAAATTCATTACATTTGACGATGGTTTATTTTCAGAGAACTTCATTTCGTGTATGCTGGTCTTCTACTCGCCACTTTGTATCGTTCTGCCATGATAGGTCTGCCCTCCAAAATGCCATAAATATGGTTTCTATAAAAATTCTACCATTAGAAAACCTTAGAAAATGGTTAAGAATATTTTTCTGAAACTAGCCCTTTTCTGCTCGATGGGTTATTTACAGTGAAACTTCACGACTTTAAGCAAAAATTTCAAGCAAAAGCTCAAATCGTTGTGTGTTTATTGAGCAATGACACAGCAAAAAAAATTAACAATGCAGGCGGGACAGCCTGGCTTTCCTTGTCTCGTCGCCTTCATTCCAAGAACGAGGCGGCCTGACTAAACAATTTAGCTGATTAAATTGAGTTTATTCTTCAATTTGAAACCACGGCTGTATGTTGCACAATGCCATTTTTCAAATTTGTTCAGTAGGGTCGTATGTGCGGCGTCCCTAATCTAGATTACATCGGTGGTGCCTCAGGTTTCATTTCAAACCCAGTGCTTCAGTACAGGCACGGCGCCACATCTCTATATACTGCTTGATTTTATTTGATCTGTTAACTAACTTATCTAGTTATATTTCTATTATTTGTCTATTATTTGTATCAATTTAGTATCTTTCTGTATCATTGCAATGTCTGCATTTTGGAAGCGTAAACAAGAGTATATCCTCCCAAATTTTCCTAAAAATCAATAATCAATGTTTTTCTGAGTGTCATCGACTTGTACATTTGGAGCGGTAAAGTAATTTGTTAAATTTTAGTCTGGGAGATGCATTTTAAGCCATTCTAGAAGGCTTAGTTTAAAATTTTTTGTTCCACTGAGCTTGATCGATATTTGAAGGCAGTCTATCCCCCATTGTCCTCTGAATCTCTTTTCATGGCCACGATATTCATGCATCATTGGTTTGATGTACAATAGACCTGTCAACCTAAAATTTTCAAAACCTGGAGAATTCAGATTTTTTGTTGAGAAAAACAGGGAGATTTGGCCAAAAACAGGGAGATCCCTGGAATTTGTTGAATTTATAGACAACATACCTGTCAAAAAAAGTCATTTTGGACAAACAGTCAATGACAACAATGATCATGGGTAGCGTCTTCCTAATGGCTTTTAATTTGAAAACACTGACAAAAAACTTTGTCGCAAAGAAAGTCATTTCAATCATTTTTGTTATAAGAAAACCTTTGCTGAAAGACTAGGAAAAACAGCAAGAAAATAATAAAAAACAGGATACCGGGAGAAAGCAAGCAAAACCTGGAGTCTCCTGGCAAAACCAAGAGAGTTGAAAGGTCTGATACAAATAACCCATGAAGAACCAAAATAGTTTACTCTCCCTACAAAACCGGGAGAGTTGACGATCTGGTACAAATAGCACATGAAGAACCAACATAGTTTACTCTCCCTATGTGAGTTGCTGTGAATTTTGCTTTGGTGTCAAGCTTTGGCATTTTGTTGTTGTGTTCACCCACAATAACTAATATATGATGCTAAAAGAAAGAGGAAGACCCTCTTTGGGTGAGGCTTTCATGTTAGAATTAGCCAATCATGGAGCTGTCAGACTTCCTTTCAAAGAATTAAAGGCAGTCTTTCCCCTATTGTGCTTTACTTTCATTTTCACTGGATTACACTGGAAATTTACTTTTATCTTAATTTCAATTCAAGCACTGTTGGGCTAGATTGATAATTAAACGACTTAAAGGCAATCTTAAAGGTCCCCTATTTTATTTTCACTGAGTGAAATTAACACACCCTTGAGCCTGAATGATGATTAAACAAATTAAGGCAATCAGAGACAGCTTTGATTTTAGAGCTTTTGAATCAAATTTTTGTGTTCTCATTGTGGCTAGAATAAACTTGGTTCCCTGTTTGGTTTCTGTGGCAGATATGTCAACAGGAAAAGGAAATGCTTACATTTTCATCATTCAATTCAAATATTTAGATCCTCTTGCTGTTTCAAATAACTTGCAATTTCAAATTTTGTCTAGCCAAAGCCAGCAGCTTAATCCGTCTAGGTGGGAAGGCCAATTGTTCATATTAGCTAACTGTTGAGAGGACAGACTGCCATTAAGTATTTTTCTGGAAAAAACGGCTGAGACCACCATGGTGATTAAATTTGCTCCCTTGAGCCAGTCTGCAGAGAACATCAATTCTCAACAAGATTTTTGAAATTGGCAAAATGCAGCTTCCAATGAGAATGGTTCTCACCATATGGGCAATGCATTTCCTGATCTAAAAGGTGTGGTCCCTAGACATTTTTCTAAGGGAATGCCCCCACACCCCTTCTTCCTATCTTGCATACACTATATATTTTCCTGGATCCAACCCTGAAAACAAAAGTCTTCCATGTTATACCCATTCCACAAAATGAAATTAGACGGAGGTGAGAAGAATATAGAAAAACTCATTCTCCTGAAAAATTGCACCTAGACAAAGTGATTCATGATTTCTAACTTGGTTAAAGGGCACTGAGATTTTTGCATAAATTGGCAGTTATTTGGGAGTTTGAAGGTGCAGTGAATGTTTTTGCAAAATCTTTACCTGTTTTCCTGATATAGATGCTGAAAGTTGAGAATCGCTGTAAAAATATGACAAATTTATTCATTAATCAGTTTCTCTAACATTCATATTATTAAAAATGACTATTGTTACAGTTATTTATCAGGGCTGCACCACCTGTTAAGCTGAATTCACACTGGACGCACACGCCTCATGTCATGCTTTTCCTCATGCTATTCGCACAGCATGCGTCATCCAGCGGCACGTCATCTGTTTTTCAATGCTGTTCACAGTAAACTTGTGAAATTCTCTACAATTTGTTCTGTATTCCTTGTATTGCAAAATCAAGCTGGAAACTTAAGTTTGCTACAGAAACGGATGAAACAGTGATCTGAAGCTAATATATCAAAAACAGCATCTTGGCCAAAGAAGTGAGGGATTCTCTGTACTTATTCTATGTACTTCAATTAGTCTTGTGTTGTTCCTTGGACATTTTGGCTCTATAGATTGTCCTATGTTTTGACAGGAAGACGACCTCTTCAAGCATCCATTAGAGAAGCTAAATTTTTTTTTAATTTAAGATTTGGAAGGTCTACTACAATTAGCAAAATGTATGGCTTTACAAATTCATGAGGATCCCCTTCCTGCTGAAATTCAAGAGAATATTAAACAGCTTAATTGCATCAACACTCCCCAAAATTTCCATGAATTAAATCCCTTGGAAGTACACCTTTGGAAACTATTGAAAGCCTAATGAGAAGTGACTGAGATTTTTTTTTACCAGAACAAAACATACAATGACTCAACATCATTGTTTAATTGAACATCGATGAGGCAACGGTATAGACAGAGAATCTAAACACAAATAATACTGTTAGTTATTATAAACTGAAAAAACATGCTGCGTTGCATAGCTGCTTAAAATCCTGACCATTGTTGATCGGCGTCATGATGTCTGTGATATGAGGCAACCAGTGTTAATTCAGCTTTAGGCCTGTTGGCTTTAGCCTTTTGGGCTTTAGGCCACTTTTGTCATCCTCATCAGCATTATCAACATCGTCACCATCATAACATCATCATGCTGTATGCTGTGTACAACTGTTTTTTTCCTTTCACTTGTAATTGCTTTTTCAATGTAATTGTACCACATACAAATTGCCTTGTAATAGTGAGGTTAGTTAAGTGTTTTGTTTTTCAAAATGAAATGACAACTGGTTTAGAAAATAGTTATTATTTAGCCAATTTTAAATTACCTTGTAAAAGTGAGATTTGTAATTGTAATTTAAGTTGGATTGAAAATGAAATGTTTCTATAATAACCTGGAATTACATCCTTTAAACCTGGAATAAACCCAGAGTAAACCCGGAATAAACCTGGAATTACGTCCTTTTGAAAATTATAAACTGTTTCAATTTAAAACAAGTGAAATACATCACATGATTAAGACATAAACTGATATAGGATCCAGAATTATCAGTAGGTTTAACTTACGAGCAGTTGCTCAAATGCCCAATGTTTGGAGTCAAATTAAATTTGGCATGCTTCCTGTACAACCTTGATGATAGACTATACATTACTTGACATTACTTGGCTTTTTGTAGCTACCAGAAAAAATTATTCGAGGGAAAGATAAAGTAGCAACCTAAGGAACCTAAGGGAGTCTGTGAAAGCTTTTTTTGCTCTGTTGACTGACCTCCTTGCCAGCTATCGAAAGAAAGGCTTTGTATGACCTTCTGACTGTCAATATTTTCTTTGTGTAACATATTATTTTCTTTTTAAAGTTATGTTTTATTTTAGAGCTGAATATATGTTATGAGTAAATTTTGTATGATCATTCTTTCCATCACTTGTTTGTTTTTGCTCCCAGCATATCTTCCATGCCAATTGTAGTCAATATGTAAATAGGAATTCTGTTGTCAAAGCAATGTAGCTGAAGCAAGAAATGACATAGAGAGGTTATATCTAATTCATTAACTAATTCATTAATCTTACAGGAAACAAAAGCCTCATGCGGGTGAAGGCAGCCAGTTGTAAGCTGTATGATGTTGTGGTTGTTGGTAAGAAAGTATTTTTATTTAATTTTCTTTGTTGTATTTTTGTTGTTGTTTTTTCTTCTTCACAACTTATTATTAAGTGTGAGCCATGCCTCTAAACTTCTTTTTTAAAAAGCCAAGTGGATCAATTTTAAGGGGGTATACCAGCCTATTATCACAATTGTAATTATTTTGGCATACAAAGTTCAAGCTCTTGAAGATGAGTTAAAGAAATACATAAAACTTTTCAAAAAATCATTTGAAACAACCTTCAGGGATCCAAAAAATTTCGGCTTTCTCAACCTAAAATAATATTTTTCCAGACTTTTGCATATTCACAAATAGCAAGAGATTATCTTACAGCAAAGCTTCAAACCTTTTACACTTTTTATCCCCCGTCAACATTTAGTATTATTGTTCAGCAATGAATAAATATTTTAATTATTTGTCATAGGAAACGGTCCATCTGGAATCTGCCTGTCATATTTCCTGTCAGGAAATTGGCCATATTACAATGGGGCCCCTGTTCCAGATCCGTTGCTCAATGACAGAGTAGAATACTGTGGCACAGAGGTGTCCCTTGTGGAACAGGTAATGTGCATATTTTCTAATCCTGTCTTCTGTTGTCTTTTATTCATATTGAGGTGGTGCAACTTTCAAGCTTGAATTCTAAAAAACCTATTGGCAATCTTTGGTTAGAATTTTTTGAATGACAATAAACTGTAAAGTGAGACGGGTAAAACTAAGATTTGGACCAAGATTTAACTAAGAACTAAGATTAAATCTTTTAAAATACTAGTGTTACAATTTAAAGTAGAATAAGTTTCTTGAATTGGTTCTTGTGTACTGTTTCTAGGACCTGGAAGACTTGAGCGATGGATTATATGATTCTCGATCAAGAAATCCAGTCAGTATTCTGTTTGACAAACTTCACCATCCAAATGCTGATTTTATGACTATGGAACCCTCTGTGCTCACATGGAAGAACGAAGAGGCAAAGTCATTCAAACACCTTGTTCTTGGCAATGGTCCACCAGGTGGAACCTGGCACCGGATGCAGTATTCCCAATATAGTTTAAGTTTGGATTATTGGCTTGAGCTTCCTGGATATCCCATAAAAACATGGCAAGAGGAACACAAGTATACAAATGAGACAAGTGGCTGCACTTGCAACCTGCCCAAATTAGTTCGCGAGGCAGGTGTCCATGAAAACCGCATGTTGCCTAATCACGTGGCCCAGTACTATTCTGACTATGTTAAACGAATGAAACTAGAAAGTAACTTTATGAATAATGTCACTGTCACATCAGTGAAAAGAGTAAGTCCAAACAATCCAATATGGGAGATCTCAGGTACCCAGTACAACAGCTCAACTGGTGATTATGAACCAATGCAGGTTTTCTCTCGTAATGTTGTCCTCGCTGTTGGCGGCTACAGTCGACCAAAGATGCTTCATATACCAGGAGAGGATCTGAAATTTGTACAGCACCATCTTCCAGATCTTGACTTTTTTCTTAAGGAATTCAAAGGCAAAAATATTGATCCTGTTGTTGTTGTTGGGTGTGGCTTGGTTGCACTGGATGCTGTTATTGCCTTAATGGATGCTAAGGTGCCGGTTTTTCATGTTTTCCGGAGAGATGCTAAGGATATGAAGCTAATAGTGAACCAGTTACCGTCTTCATATCCAGACTATTTGAAACTGAAACCGCTCATGGCGGGCAGAGCCTCAAACGAATATTACACGCCGTTTCCTCTCTCCCAAGTCACTGAAATATTGTCCACAGGCGAATGTGTAATTGAGCATGTTACCGGGAAGAGCCGACTGGTCACCAAGACTTCTCAAGTGATTGTTCAAATAGGGTCGAAGCCTAACCTCTCATTCTTAGGCGAAATGCAGCAGACCTTGTTAGAAGATTCATCAAAGGAAATCGACATAAAAGAAAACCCACTTGCTGTTAACTTGTTTACTTACGAGACTGAGGAGACTGGACTCTATGCAATGGGGCCTTTGGTTGGAGACAATTTTGTTCGTTTTATATTGGGCGGTGCCTTGGGGGTTTTATCTGGGCTGGCTGAAAAACTAAAACAAGATAACAATTAACTTGGACTGACATTAGCATATATTCACATATAGAAGGTAATTTCTGCACACACACGTCAATCTGCAGTGTTTTAAACGCATCATTTTAATCTTATTGTAATCAGATTCAACAAATAGGCTTTTACAGAAGAAACTGTTATTCTTACTCTCACCGCTATAGTTTGTTTCTAATTCTCTCACAACTACTTCTGTGTTTTTTTATTTTCATGCACGCCGTTTGTTGTACATATTTCTTTCTGTGATAAAGTTTAAGCTTTTGTATTTTATTGGATTTAGACTTTGGGTAAATTAGAAAGTTCACGTTGATTTTTTTCATTTTTTCTGCATTCTGCTGTTATTTTATGTAAGTTTTTTTTTAATTTATACTATATAACCCTTTAAATACTGGAATTTTGTAAAATATCATGAAAATTTACCATGTGGGCAGCTTTGGCAAAAAACTTAAGCAAATAACCTAAACAAAAAGCCTTTAAGCCATATTTTTTGGACAAAATGGTCCGTTGTTAAATCCTTATTTTTGACGATTTGCGCATAAAACCTCATGCGATTAATTTTGATCTTCACAGAAGCAACATGAAATGACTTCTAAATTTGAATGAACGCAAACCTTGTAAATTGAAGGAATAGCTTTTCTTGTACTGTGAACAATACGAGGATTGACAGCAAAGAAGTATTTTGTAATGGCCTACTGATCCAAGGTAGATTTAGATCAACTGGGCACTTGCGGACCAAATTCATCTTCAACGGAAAGATTTTTTTAATTCAGGCTGTTCCTAAAGGATTTTTTTGAGTTGTTCAAGCTTCAAGTCGAGTTATGACTTGAGCAAATCAAAAGCTACAATGTATTTCAACAATTAGAACCAGGGCCGCCGCTAGGCTGGAGGAGCCTGGACAAATACTTTCACCTGTTGAAAGCTATAATGGGCTTTTTACCTTGCTTTGTTTGAAGCGCGGTTAAAGTATTCATCCTCTACATCTTTTCTGAATATTTCTCACGAACCTTTGACCTGGGGCTCTATTTATGCAAATAGGTATGAACGCGGTGTCACAATATAACTCAAGGCCAAAGCGTCGACAACATCACTAAAGTCAATCGTTTTAGCAGCATCACTTTCAATACCTCAGTATGGCCAAGTTATTCAGTAAGCCACCATTCCTTGTCGTTTGACGGACCCACTTTGTTAGCCTGAGCTCAATATCGTCGAAAGGAGGTTTTTAACATAAATAACATAAAAAATAATTTCATATGCTTAAATACTTAATTTCAGGCCTTTAGGGACTTAGAGGAGAAATCCTTACCCGAATACTGCAATGTCGTCAAAAAAGAAAAACTACCTTGTTTCATAAATCATTAGTGACATTATTTCATATTTCATGATGATATCTTGCCGTTATTTCACATTTCAAAATTACCAAAGCAAAGTATTTCAAAATCGTCAAATGTTCCATTCCTGCTCCCAAAATATTAATTTTTTAAAGAGGTGTCAGGAAAAGTTGGAGCAGCTCACATACAAAATAGACCGAGTCTTCAAAACATGACGTTTTTGAGTTGCCTCCATGCACAATATCAGTAACTTACTGATATTTTTCAAAGATAACTCAAAAGCTTTAACTGTTGCAACTCAAAATTTTTTAGGAATTATCACTAATATACTTCACAAGAATTTTTGACAAGTCATTATTTTTTCGATATTCCACTACCGATAAGCAAAATTCTCATGAAAGATAGCATTGTTAAGCCATAATGACAAAGCTAATTATGAGCTGTACGGTAAAATTCCCTTTTAAAGGCAGTAGAACTAGTTGTAGCATTTGCCAACAACCCCAGGGGGGGGGGGGGGTTCTTCACTTCACTAAATACGGGGACACGCCCCTCCCCAAAATTCGCAAAAGCGCCTGTTTTGGATTTGAATTAAAAAAAGCTGATACTCTGTCCCGGAGTTTGTCAAGGCTATCAACCAGCATACATTATTCTCCTTTATGGTTTCAAAAAACATTTCACAGTTTCGGCAATCAATTGTAGTTCATTCTGCGCTGTTTAATTGATCAAAAATTTAAATTGTCATAATTCAAATTTCATTTTTGCGAAGATTTCAAGCATTATGACCCTGTCTAGACCCTGTCGCGGAGCCAACAAATAAAAGTACAACCCTGTCATGGAGTCAGTGTAACCCGTCTCCAGGATACAGCGAGTCTCGAAGATGACAGGATACAACAGGGAATACAACTTCTGATCCAACTACTTTTCTAAAGGGGTATATATAGGCGATGGTTAGGGGTAGCGCCACGGGGTGGACTGGGGTCCCCACCCCACTTTTTTAGGATCTATTTTCCAACTCTTCCAAAACTGGATTAAAAACAAAAGGGGGTGTTAATTTTCTTCTCTGAGATCGGAACTTTTTTCATTTTGATGGTCAGTTACGGTTCTTTCCAGATCTATGAGTATGAGATCTATGAGCTGACAAAGAGTATTGTGTGTTGGATCATCAGTTCTGTAAATAGTGAAAAACTAAAGTGAAGATGATTTATAAAAAAAGATTTATCGTGCTAAACAGTTGGTTCTTAGAATGTGATCTTTGCTTTTCTTCCTTGCTAACGGTTTTTGGCAATAATTAACTTTAAAACTTGGACACAAACTTTCTCAAGCTATAAGGATAGTATAGCTGTAGCCCCATCTGTTACAGCTGAGTCACCTTTAGCCTCAATGTCAGACGAAAGCTTGAAAAAGCTTGTTCAAATTAGCATCGATCGAGATATGGCAGATAAAATAGACAAAGGTAGCCTCATTAATAAGTTTGAAACAACTGCTTGCTAAAAGTACAATAAAATTATTTTTAATGTTATCAGCTTTTACGTATGTATACCTTTGCTTATGAAATTTAACTCTTCTATTGAGGGTTTCAAATTTTTTCAAACTTGGTTATCAATAACAAGCGCGATTTCTCGTACGGTGTTGCACCGGTTTCTCACCCAGACCCTTTAATCAGCTCCACTCTTTCATTGTCTACCCCATTGTTTGGGGGCTGGCGCCGCCCCTGGCGATGGTTAGGAAGAAGGAAGTACGCGCGGGGGCTGTGTCGGCAGTTTCCTAAGATGCAAAATGATTACTTGGCAGAAATAATACCTAAAAGGGGGCATGAGGTACAACGGGCTCGATCTCGGTATGCTCGTGGGATTGGTATTTATTGACCTGAAAAAGGCATTTGATACGGTCGACCATTATATTCTCTGTAAAAAGCTCGAACTTTATGGCGTTCAGCAGCGAGAGCTGTCTTGGTTTAGGTCTTACTTACCCAATCGCAAACAATTCTGTAGGGTTAATGATGTTGATTCAAATGCCAGGGAAATAGAAGTGGGGTCCCACAGGGTTCATGCCTTGGCCCTCTTCTATTCCTCATCTATATCAATTATCTTCCACGAGCCATCCAAGATTCCTCTGTGACTATGTATGCTGATGATACCAGTCTTCGTCACCAGTCTCACGATTTGACCCGAATGAGGCTATAAATAGCGATCTCAAGAAATTGGAGACTTGGTTGCGAGTCAATAAGCTTTCATTGAATGTGGCAAAAACTCATTCAATGCTCATATGCACCAAGCAGAAAGGCAGCTTTCCTAGAAGTCGAAATGAAGCCTTGGAACTGAAGATACGCGACAATCGACTGCTCAATAGATTGGAAAGAGCAAATTAAGGCAGTTTCCACCAAGATCTCCAGGGTGATCGGCTTTTTGAGACATGCTGGATCATTTTTGCTTATGCCAAGTTTGAAAACTCTACACACTGGTATTGTGGAGCCTCACTTTCAATACTGTTGTTCTGTCTGGGGTTTTGCTGGGTCTACAGACATCGACCAGTTTCAAAAACTTCAAATCGTGCTGCTAGGATCATATCAAATAGCAGCTTTGATACCCCAAGCAGACCACCTATTGCAGAGTTGGGCTGGAAGACCATTGAAAAGCTCATTGGCAATGAGACTAAAACAATGCTCTTCAAGTCGCTCTATGGCTTGGCTCCTCAATACTTCTGTAACCTCTTCACCAAAAACTCAGCATGCCCCTCCCGCAATCTCCGGAACACTGAGACTGATTTAGGTTACCAAAGAAAAAGTCAGCAAATGGACAAAAGTGCTTTTCTTTCCGGGAGCTAAACTATGGAATAGCCTTCCTGCTGAGTCCAAGACGGCACCCTCCCTGAGTGGTTTCAAAAAATCAATACAGGGTTGACTAGTTCACTCGACGATCCGACAATCGCCTCGACGAAACAAAGGTACCCATTATGTCCAGTACATGACTCCATAAGGGGTCATACATAAATGACGTCTTCGTAGAGGGGGGAGGGGGGTTTACGGTTTTGGTGATGGAAAGTGACACTTAGAGTGAGAAGTGACGTCACTGGCAATATAATACAGGGGGTCAGAAAGCTGGTGACAAAGTTGGGAGGGGGGTTAAAAATCTTGAAATTTTAGGTGACGTCATTTATGTATAACCCCTAAGGACAGGGACCTGGCTTGACCTGGCCAGGCAGCCGATGTCTTTTGTCATTTCGTGAGCTTTTACATGGAGATTTGTAGGTATGGGAGAGAAAACAGCAAGTGCGAAAGGGGTACTGGAAAGTTTTGGTTTGAAGGACAAACTCAAGACAGTCTCGATTGATCTTTCAACTGGGTAAATTTCAATTTTTTCTTTAAGTTGTGGCAGCCATCAAAACAAGAGTAAATCAGTTCTTAGCATGCTTATCAAATCTTATCAAATTGTATTGACAATTGGCCTACCTAAGAAGGCCTAATTTTTTAACAGATAACATACTTATTGTGCTTACAAAACTTTTTTTACATAGGCTAAAAGCCTGTGAAAAAAATCCTTTAGAGGCTGCACGGATAAAAAGAAAGGCTGTGGGTCAATGGACCCATTGGTCAATTGGTATTTGGCATCATTATTAGTTACTTAGAAAACAAGTTCCATAAGCCAATCATTTTACTACCCAAGCAGACCTTTACTTGTCTTTGATCTGTGTTGTAAATAAATGTTAATGTGTTGATGAGACACAATACGTTTTCTTTAAAGTGTTTGTATAAACAATTCTTGAAGCAATCTATACTAGTAGTTATTCCCAGGCAAATTGTTCCAAGGAGTGTTGGCTCTGTTTACTAAAGATTCTTCCTAACTTCCAAATTAAATATCTGCTTTGATGAGTTTAAACCATATCCCCTCGTTATGCCTGACATTCTTGGTAGGAGACTGAATACATACCTATTGACAACAAAAAACTATTTGCATCATTGACTGTCATTTATATTTGCATAAGTGAAAATGACTTGAATTTTGATGAGTGGTTAGAAATTTTAATGACTCCTTGGTTGAGTTTATGTATGGCTGAGAAACTGAAGTGAGCAAAACAATTTATGTCCCAGTTAACAGAATTGGGCCATTAAGAGGCACAGGGTATAGCTGAATTGATTAAAAATTTTGATTTGGGGATCAAAATTGATATCATTGATTTCATGCATTTTATTTTTAATGCATATGTCACCAAGTTCTTATTTTGTTCAATTTATAGCACGTCTTAAGCCAGTGTGGAATCCATAATTCTTATGGTGGGAGTATCAGGTTTGGATTAATGAGCTTACATAGACTCCACCCTGGGCATTAATTTCTTATCCAAACCCTGTTAGGTTAAGTTTTTTATTTGTTTCTACCAACAAAGATTTTCCATGAAGGAAACATTTTAAACAGTGAAAATCGCGATAAGAAAGACAGTATTGCTGAAAACTGCCTTTTATGGTGATTTTATTGACTCTAAGCCCGCAAGGTATTGATGATGAGATTTGGAATTTTCATAATGTTTAATTTGCCAGATGTATGCAGTTTTCAGCCTGTGTACGACATCATATCTTCTCCGAAAAAGCTATTATAACAGTAAGGTAATGTTGCTCAACTTTTGAAAGCAAAACTTTCAACAGTTTGAAGAACTACTGCCCTATTAAGGTAAAAAAAAAGATGGTGAAATGTCTGATTCATGCGTGTGCCAAGTCGCTCGCATTTTTTGCTCCATGCATGTGCCAGTGCGTGTGCATGCAATCACATGCATTGAATGATTAAGACTGTAGTAGTAGTAGGCATCTCTCTGGTGAGACAATTGTAGTGCCCTAGTTGGTTAATCGATTGCATTTAGAGTGGCATTTGGTATTGCTCAACAGTGTGATTCTGGCATGAAAGTCTCTGCCGCAGATGTGGCACACACAGTGGATAGCTGGTCAGAGGCCTGGTTTTTTTGTCTCTGTTTTTCTTTGTTTTCTCTTGTTCTCTAGCTGGAGGCTCCTCTCCTCCTCCACTCTCCTAACTCCCTTGTGCACAGTGTGGCGTCAATAATTGCGGTCAGCTGCCATCAGTTCCCAGCTGTTTGGGTTGATGTCTCTTGAAGCGAACATCAGACATCCAAGAGGAACCATTTTTCATTGCCTTATGTGGAAAAAATCGAAAAAATGGTTAATATCTTATAAACATCGAATTCATCGAAGTCTATATAATAGAAAGGAAGAATTGAGACAATAGAGGAGACAGAGTTGCAATCTATGTTAAACCATGCATAAATCATTGTTAAAGAAAAGATACAGACACTGATAGCCTTCATCTGGTTTCCATGAAAGTCATTCCATTGTTACTGTTTGGAACCAATTCAGCCATGATATAAATCTGCTCCTTTGCTACTTTCAATAAAGACTTAAAGTGTTTTTAAACAATCAAAGAGTCCACTAAATCTAGATCTGTATTTATTAGAATATACCTTTGACTTCAGAATCCTCTTTTTCATCATTTCTTTTCTACAGGATCTTCAAGTTCAGTTATGTTTTTTAACGGGTGTTGTTAATCAGTTATTGAAGAAACTGGATTTATTGAATGTATTTAAACCTGTTGAAAAATGACAAATTGTATTCAAACTTGTATAGGGAAACTGACTTTGCCTACAAATACCACCTTTATCTTTTTAAATTAATGACATATAAATATTTTAAATTTGTTCTTCTATGGACTCTAAATGTTATGCTAGAAGGATTTTTTCTTTTGCTTATCAATGATGCTGACCCTGGTCACTCAAACTGGGTTTCTCAGGCCTGTAATCTTCAAATGTGATGTGGAATACAGCAATCAGATACTGTTTCAATAATTCAAACCAAACTTAGAAATCTTTTTGAGTCTGTAGTATCAGGAAGATTAAATGAACACATAACTGATAAAGAGAAGCTACATTTGTCTGCCTCATTAAAATTAATTAACAAATTTTAGGCTTGTCTCAACTACCTATCTGACTTTACTGTACAAAGCTTTTATGCAAATTATAGTGCCCATAACCTCCAAATTGAAACAGGGCGTTTCAGTAAAAACAAAACACAAAGAGACAAAAGATTGTGCTTATAATGCAAAACCACCAACATTTCAACAGCCAAGCTTTTTAAGTTAATTAGCTTTACTACATTTTATCAATTTTTTGCTGCAAGACTTCCTTCGGAGTCCATTGAGCAGCCAGCTTACATGACCTTTTCTAAGACTTTGTAGCTTAGTATTTCTTGTAACTTCTATACCAGAACAATTATTTGCTACTTAGTTATTAATTTTCTCATTGTATCTGACTAACCATTACTCTTCTAGATGTTAACCATTACTAAGCTATAATTATACTAAGTAATAGTTCCGCTGTAGTATTGTAAGCAGTTAGGGGCCATTTTGGCCTTTATGCTTGATTTGAAAAAAATTTTAGCTGTTTGAAAATTTTTGCTTGGAAACTGTCCCTCTTTTTTTGGCCTGTAGATATATAGGCCAAGACAAACTGATTTTTCAGCTAAGAGTATTTGTAGATAAATCTTTAATGAACTGAGCTCTAGATATCAATAAGGGAAAGTGCTCCACTATACCATCCCTTCTTTATTAGCCAGGCTAGAAAGCTTGCACATATTTTGAGCCATGCTTAGTTTATATATTGTGAAATTTAAACCAGAGTGGCAAATGGTTTTTCTTAAGTAAGAATAAAACAACATTTATGTCCTCTCTTTTTCAATTTTTGAAGCCTTTAGAGTTGTAATTCATAGTTTTCTTTTTAAGATGGAAGTTCATATCAGCAAGAGCAAAGCATGAAGCAAAAACTTTTAATAAAAAAGCAAGGTAAGCCAGATGAATCCTTGGGCATATAAGGAATGGTCAAATATTTGAGTAAATGTAAATCTTATCAAATTATTTGGGCTTTTTGAAAGCTTGCTTAATTGTTTATCCCTGTACAACAAAAAGCCTTTTGCAAACTTTGCTGTTCAGTCCTTTTATTGGCTACATAATCAACTGCCTCTCAAGAGATGTTCAATTCTCTCAGTTTGCGGCCACTAATGTAATGCCATGTGGTTTTCAATCTAACTTTATTCTGACATTCTAACTATGTGACTGATTCACCTGAACCCACATAATCCCAAAAGCAACTTTGATATTTAGCTTCACTGTCACTGGTATGCTTTCCAGAAGACAAATACAGCCTTGATAAAGTTATTTGTCTAAGTATGCATTGATCATGTTTACATCAAATTTTTACTTTTAGGAAAGCACTTGCAACTTATGAAGAGGGAAGTAGTGTAAGGTGAGGTTTTTAGACTATGGTGTTCATGACAGGTACTAAATTGTACCAAACTTCCTGTACAAATAGAGTAGTGTAAAATGTTTAGTTTTATGATTAATCTTCTGCAATCTAGTAATTTCATCTTAGATCTTAAAAGTAGTTTCCTTTCTTTTTTGACAGAATCGACTAAGAGTTTTCTTTTAAGAGTATGCTTAATAAGATACCTGAGCAACACATTTGTATTACATATGCCACACGGAGGAGACAATGGATAAGGCTGACTGCAATAGTCAGGAACTACACTAAAGGACAATTAGAAATCCAATGCAAATGAATCTAAGTCAGCTCATACTTCACCCCAGCATACTGGGTATATTCTATTATCCAATCTAGTCTTTTGCATCTCAGCTTGTATTGTGGAAACTAGTCAAAATTGGCTGCCTAATGATTCTGAAGTTGTTGTGACTCTTGATGTATGAGCAGATGTTGGCACCAGGCATGTGATGGCGTGTGATATAACAAGTATTAACTGGGAGCTTATTTAATCAGCAAAAACATTTTACTGCAAGTACAGAAATTTTTTGTCATGTCAAAAACAGTTTTCATCAGCTTTAATAATGAATCCTTAGCAGAATCATTGATGCTTTGGTGTTCATCTGGTTGTTATGGCCGTTTTTGCGTGTAAATCCATGCCCCAAGCTCACTGTGTTGTTAATCATGACAGCAATTTTATGTACTTCACTGGCCAGATGTTGATAATCCATAAAGTATATGCATGAAAAAGAAAGATAAGCCAGTTTTCATCAAATCTAATGTTGTCAAAATCTAGATTTATAGAGCATAGGGAAATCTTAAGAGGGGAGTGTAAGGGGGTAGCAAAATCTGCTACTTTTTATCACATAATCTGCTACTTTTTGCTAAATTAGCGATAGAAAATGAAAAACTTGTCCACCACACTTAATGTTCCTCTTAAGATTCAGGGACAAAATTGTCTGTTATCATGAAACCTTGAAAGATGTATACTTTTACACAAATCTCTTCTCCATTTCAGCATCATAAAAATTGTGTTTGCCAATGTATGTTTTGCCGATGACGATAGTGATTCCCCCGAGAAATAGTGATAGACATACACCGGGAATAAGTAGGCCAAAATAACGCTGACAAGTTTTTAAAAAATTAAGAGGGCTTGTATTGACGAGAATTTGTTATATACAGGATTTGTTATACTGAGGGAATATGTTCAAGAATATCAGGATTCCACTGTAGATTAGTCCTAACTATTTCATAAATTACTATTTAATTCGCAATCCAGGTAAAGTAATGAAGCTTTTTGAAGTGGCATGAGGTAATAGTACCAAAGAAGGATAAACATTTTAACTCGTCTCAATAACCCAGAAAACCAATAATTATGAATTTTGCTTTTCATAATAAAAGTAGATGTGTGATAATTAGCACTCCTGGAAAGCAGCAGGTGTGCACCAGGGTGTGCACATGCGATGACACACCTTGCCACTGAAAGTCTACATTGCCAAGCAATATTTTATTCTGTCATTTTGGTTTCTGTCATTCTCTTTTTGGACCTGTGTTTTTTGCCTGTTGCTCTCAGGAACATACTATTTTATTCTGTGAACTCATTGCCAACTAGTTGCCCTACATACTCAAAAAGGCTTCATTTCAGTTCAGTTCAGTTCATTCATTCATTTTAATTTCCACTATATACAGATACTCTAATATTAAACTACTTACAACAATTATAATAAATACATGAGACAATAAACATAGAATATAGCAAAGATCTGACACTACACTAGAGGATTTGCATGAAGGGGAATTCTTAAGGAGGAACTTTCTCAGTAGCAAAGCTAATTGAGGAGAGAGCACCGCCTTTTAAGATAATAATTTCAGAAACTGTTTGTGTAAATTATGACTGTCTATAATACACTTTCAATAATTATTTTCAAAGAAGTAGGTTTTGAGCTTAGAACGAAAGACACTAACAGATGGTGACCTTTTAATATTTACATACCTTTTAATAAGCAACTTTATTAAACCTTTAATATTTAATAAAGTTGCTTATAGATAAATATTAGTAAAAAGGTTTAGTAATCTTTCCTTTTCTGCCAGGTATGATCAAGTGTATAACTGTGACTTTGATGTTGGATTTTCTGTTTGGAAAAGGTCTGTAGTTCTCCTGAAATAGTTTTTTTAGAAGCTGATTATATAGGAAATGGAGTGTTCGACACTCTTGCCATCCTCAATGCTTGAGATCCATTTTTTCTACACATTAATTGCTCTTTTGCTCTTCTTTCCCTTTCAATCACCCTTTTTCCAGTGGTGTAGTGCTATCAAAATGACAAGGGGGGCTCCTGCACAAAATACTGCAAAAAACAATAGCAAAAGTAAAAATTTCTCAATTTTCGGCATAAACAAGGGGAGCTCAGCCCCCTTGAGCCCCCCTAGCTCTACACCCCTGCCTTTTTCCTACAATTAGTGTGCTACTCAAACTTGAAGTCTTTGCAATGACGTTAAAAACCACGCAAACCAAACAATCACTGTAATGGTTACAACGGAACTGGTAATACATGGTTTAAAAACTGATTAAAGTATTGATAAGCAACAATTTTTAAAAGAAACAACATTATTGTCTTGTTTCCATGTAAATAACAGCAGGTTTTTTGAATGTTTTAGATTTCAAGGCTCATGGAGAGAGATGCGGGAAGAATCTGACAAAAATACTTGTTTAGCTGAGGTAGAATATTCTTATCAGTTTAATTTTGATTTCTTGTATTTCTTTGCTGGAAATATCTTGCTCTAAGTAGCTAAATGATATTCAAACTTTTAAACAGAGATCTTGATGAGGTAATATTGCAGGATGATTGAATCTGTCAATAGTTTATTAGCAATTGTGAAAATACAGTGTTGGAGTCATTGGCCTATGCTAGCTCCCACAAACCCTTGAAAATCTCAGTGTGCTTGGAAGAAAAGGAAAAAGTTCAGGCCTTGCTGATTAATTTTTAGTTCGTGCATGAGAGCTCACATGCCATATCAAGTGATGCACCTGGGATCATTTCTAGCTCCAGGAAAGCATCTCTTTCTACCCCTCTAGCCTGGAATGATTTTCATTAAGGTCACTTGCATCAAAAGAAAGGCCTTCAAATCAATGAAATCACTGATCCAGACCTTTTGTTACTCATTTTTATTTTCTTAGTAAATAGCAAATTTAGTTGCTGCAGAGCATTCACCATCTGACTTCAGGATTAAAGAGTCAGTGTCAAAATTGGATTAATTAAAAAGGATTCAATTTTCCTCCATAAGATGCTTAGTGTATTCCAAATGCTCTAACAGAAATTCAAAACACAAGTGAAAAAGGCAACTTCAGGAATTATTGTATTGAATTGTTTGAAAAAGCATCCCAGTAGAAATTATAGTAGAACAAAGGGGAAGTGGAACAAAACGGATAGCAGCCACTTAACAAAGAGGATAGGTGTATTATTACTGAAATGGAAAGGTAGAATCTCTTTGCTTGCCCAGCGATCAGGAGATGTTGTTAAAAACCAGGAGACCCCTTGAGAATCTTGTATATTTTTTAGGGTTTGCAGTACAAGGAGCAATTGGATTTAACATAAATCTGTGGGATCTATTGCTTTTCTTAAACACCTATTTCATCCTAAGTTTGAATTCATGAAGATTTTTATGGTTTAGGTAATGAAAAATAATGAAATGAATCTGAGTTCCATTAGATTTGATGAAATTTATTAATGTTTTTATGACTGTGGTTGTTTTCTTTAACTTCAATGTATATGTTCTATAGGGAGCTGATGTTATTATAAATGATGTTTTCAAAGAGTGGCAGAAATGGGAGTCTACTGTGTCTCAATTTCATGAAAACCTTGTTGCCATACCAGATATTATTGCACAAGTTGAAATTGCTCAAGCACAATTAGGTAATTTTCTTTTGGCCAGGTCTATAATATAGTCATTGTGGATATCACAGACACCAAAGACATTGCAGAGATCTCAGTTTTAAATTCAACAAAGATTTTTTAGTAATTTGATTAAATAGGGTGATTATTAAGAAGCAGATACACAATCCACAGTTGGTATTTCTGCATTGCTGAACTGTCTGTGATTGCCATATTTATGACTAAATTGTTGGATTTCTTTTGTACCAGTTTACAATGTTAATGAAATCTTGTAATTCTATGTAAAAGCATTAAGAGGTGACCTTGCATTTTTAAGAAACTTTTTTGCTAGTAGTGAAATGTAGATACTGTATTGGTCCTTTGACACAATCTGCCACACTTTAAACATAAATATGACTTCTGGATATATTACCATTCAAAATTTTTGTCAAATTTGTCCTTTTTGTTATGCAACTATATAGTTTCTACGTAAAGGAAATATGAGTTATGAAATTTTTGAGAAACAAGATTGTTAAAGTGGGCTTTGTTTAGTCCAGAAAAGCTGCTTAAATTTAATTTGGTTATGTGTCACATATTAGTGGCAGATTCTGATAACCTACAGAAATATCCAGTACATCAACTTGTTTTACAGTTTGTTTTACAAAATCAGCTGAATTTTTCTATGAAAGTAAACTTTTATGCCTTTTGTGTTCAGTTTATTAGACTGGGTTGGAACCTAGGATCTTAAGCAAGGCAAAGATGTAGGAATTCAGTCTATGCATAGGGCTAACTTGAAAGGTTTTCATTTCATTGATTAATGTTTGATAAATACATAAACTTGATTCTCAAAGTTTTATGTTTCTGTTTTTATACTGCCATTTATTGCTCAAATTTTCAGCCAAAATAGGAGATCAAATTTCAAAGGTAGAAAAACTTTTGGTGGAGCATGAAGATGTTGTCATGAAGGTTGAGCTAGAACGTAAAAAGTGCAATGAGAAACTTGAGCTGAGCAAACTAGTTGAAAAGAGACAGTAAGTTTAGCATCATCACTTTGATCTTGTTAAAAAATTTGATGGTTTGAAGAAGCTAAACAGCAGTCTTGTCTTTCTGCAGCCCTCTCCAGCTAAAACTTTCACATGATTTCAATGTTCCAATATTTCGTAAAGCTTTTAGCTGCCTGTAATTGCATTTTGATAATTGAATAAAGATACTTCAGTATTTTGGATTAGGCTTTTGGTGTAGCTCAATGGTTTGGTGACACTATGATGCAGAGTACAGGTCACATTAGGGCTGTCATCCCTACACTTCACCTTTATATGTGTAGACAAGTTTGTTTATCCATGATTGGTAAGGCTCTTGCAAGAAGCAGTAGTTGCACTATTTTGCATTTGAGTGTCTTGTAAAAATTTTTAAATTTGTAAATATGATTTTTTCAATTGTTTTCCCATACCAAGTATGGAAAATAAAATTTTACTCTCATTTCAATCCTCAAGCACTTTGTGGAAAAGCCATAAGGTCTAGACAAAAGAATGTTTACTGGGTTGGCCTTGTATCTTTACAGATGAGTAATAGCATAATTTGCATTCGATCACAAAAAATTATTAATAAGCAAGCAGTACCTATAAGTAATTGGTTTCTTTCTTCCTTCCAGAAAAGCATACCAAGAAATGAAAGGTTTGCTCATTATTTCTATGATTGTTTTTAAGAATGATTTTATTATTGGAAAATAGCACCAGTTACTAGAAACAGTAGGAAAAATTTACAAAGATGAATAATTAAATAAAGTTATTAGTGTTGTACTAGAATAAGATTGCGATGTTTTCGTTTAAGCCGTTTGCTGCTTCTTCTCGTTTTTTTAAAAAAGAGGAAAAGACAATACCGGAAATCCTCGAATTAGCCCCCTAGGGGCTTGTTTATTTTTGATATCTTGGATGGGGCCTATTCGAGGGGGAGGGGCTTATACGAGAGGGGGACTTATAAAATTATTATAGGCATTAAGAAGACATTATCAAAACACCTCGTTTATTTTAGTAGGAATTCCTTTATGAGCATTAAATTAATTACTACCAGAAGTATGAATTTGTTGTGGTAATTCAACCTCAGATGGCAACAATCATCAAATGGAGGGGTCCAGATCGAAAATTTACGGTAGCATTGGGGGCTTATTCGAGAAGGGGGCTTATTAACAATCGGCAATAGTTCTAGGGTGGGGGAGTTTTCGAGGGGGGGGGGGCTTTTTTTTCGAGACGGGGGGGGGGTGATTCGAGGAATTTACTGTATGTATATATAGAGATTAATAAGTCAACGCAATATACGTGCAGGAGCTTATAAATGAAGTATATTTTGAAATTGAACTGCCTTAATGAATTGGTTGAGAAGTGCTTATTATTCATTGTCCCTCAACATGCCATATATCATTTATGGAACAACCTGGGCAGCTATACAACCTTTGGTGGACAAAACCTAGACCCAACTTGAGCATATAATTTAGCAAACAAATTGAGCATATAATTTACAATTTTCACTTTACTGTTAAAATTTTTATGAGAGGGAAATTTTCTACTTTAAATACATGACTAGAAAATGGGTACAAATTTTGGAAAGAGGGATAATCAGTTGCTTGGTACAAACTGTGAGGGGAGAGGTTAATAATCCTGACAAAGGATGCACATTTGATGGGGGCTTTCCCCTTTTGAAATCAGTCTTCTGGTGGGCCCTCTTGGGAGGGGGGGTGCTCAATAAATAAAACACAGTTTTGATAGCTAACATGCTATACCTGAAGATTATTTATTTTTAATGAATTTTTATAATTTTTTATTTTAGCAAAATATGAAATGACTGAAGAAGAATCTGGGGAGATGGCAATGGTTCTTGAAAGGCAAGAATCAATAGAAAAACAGCAGGTATACGAGGATGCCTTTCTGGAGCAGATGGAGAAATACATTCGATATGGAGAGCTTGAACGTATGTTTTGCAGAAAACAAAAATATTTTTCTTTCAGCATTTTTATATGAAATCTTTATTATCACACTTTATTATCATTCTGTTTTTTGGACACCCATAGTGAGTAATCGAAGGTGCTCAAATCAGCAACAAAGGAATGTTTCTTTTTGCAAATTGGAAATATATTTCGTTTTAATTTTTGCAAAGCACTTTAACTTCTAGAATACTTCAGTTATCAAAACTTTGCTGCAAAAAATCCAAACGAACAAATTTGTTTCAAATCTTCATGCTGTCTCTTCCAGCCCATCTTCACATTGCTAATGGAACAAAGAATCTAAATGTTCCTTGAAACTACATTACATCGTTGAGTAGAAATACCACAATTTTAACATATAACGGATGTTAACAAGTAGGAATAGAAGGCTTTAACAGAAAATAATTAAAAATGTCTTTATTTATAGTGAAAGCACAATATTGTATTTATGGTCGACACTAACGTCTTAATTTTAGTTGCAAATGGTTTTTTAATGCATGCAGAAATTCAGTTCTACGCACTAGCTACAACAGATTCAGAGAAAGTGATTGAGAATTTTTACAAAGCAGCAAAAAGCGCAAAGGAAATCAAGAAGGGGGACGATATAGTCTTATCGATTGGAGGATTTACTGCCCATATCGGGAATGGAGAGGAAGATGAAGTCGTGGCTGAGTGGAAATGATTACAAAGTAGAACAATTACATGATGCATAGAAAAGTAAATTTGTAGCATGCAGCAAATATGCAACAATATAGGGAAGGGGTTATTCAAACACACTTGGTTTTGAATGCCCCAGCCAGAGATGGAAGAACGAAAATCAATTAGAAAATTGTAATCAACAACATATAGAGGAGCGGCGTATACGATTTCAAAGCCTTATCAGGTGCAGGATGTTCAACAGATCAGTATCGACACATTAACAGTCTAGAAACACCATTTTAACAAACGAAAATGATCAAATATACAAGGAAAGAGTAGAATATCTCCAAACGTAGTCAAGAAACAATCAAAGAGAGATGTAAATAAGAAAGCGAGAGACTGATAAACGATTCTGGTCATGAAAAAGATGAATGAGACGTTTGGAGAAGCCTTAATGAATGCCTCATTAAAACGGCAAATACAGTTTGCAGAATAAGAGAAACAACAGGGAAACGAAATTTGGTAACGGAGGAAATATTAAATAAAATGGAGGAAAGAAAGCGGTAAAAAATAAATTAGGAAATGTACAAGAATTTATCCAAAATTGTAAATAAAATTTCCTGCAAGGCAATGCTAACACAAAACTTACAATTAAATCCAATTGCTTGATGATTTTGTTAACCTAAATCTTTAGCAGCTAAGGCCAAGAAAGCTTCAATTAGAACATAACTTGGAGAAAAAAAGGAAAATTGTTTTTTGTAAAGATGATATCTTAGAGAGGATGGTGGAACTTATGTAGCTATTAAAACATCCATATTGGGAACAAGACAAGCCGTTGCTAAACAATAAATATCTGATGGAATAGACTAAATAAATCTCACAGAATGTGGGTGACAAAGGAAAAGACATGATAATGTTGATAGTCGTTGTAGAACAAATGTTGCAATACAGGCTTTCAACCATAAGATTTTCCTGAAGTAGCCAACACAAAGTGTGAAGGACAATAGCCCTAATACAACTCATATCTAGGATCTTAATACATTTTTAATGTGAAGAAAAGAGAAGAATAACACGACTGACGAGGAAAGGAATTTGTGGGAATCGACTACAATTCAGAGAGGATTAAGGGGCTGAAGATCCAACTGAAGATGCAGTATGCCAAATAAGGCTTCTTGCAGAGAGAATGAGCAAAAACATAAGATTTATGCTTCATAGCCTACATAAAGCATTTGACAAGGTAAACCATAGAGGATTTACTCAAGAATATGGCGTGCTGCAAGAAGAAATCAAGTTAAAAACGCTCCTAAATTGGTGTCAAACTGTCCACATCATTTGAAAATCAAAAAACTGTAACAGCTTTAAGTTTGATGTATATTTGCTGTGCTGATAGAACCATATTACTAGCGAGCACAAAAGAAGATTTAAATGGAAATGAAACGAAATGAAATGAAATTGAAATGGCAATAAACTGAAACGAGACTGCATTAGAACCAGTATAAATATCTCCGCACATTAATTATATGCAAGACTCTAAAGGCTTACAGAAAATCGAAAGAAGAGAAGGAATAGCTTAGAAGTGATTTTTTAAAAAATCATGAAAAGTAATTGTAATATGAAATCTAAGAAAATGTCACAGTAGACATATATCATTCGATTGTTTACATTTGGCTGTGAAGCATGAACAATAGAAGAAGAAAAGTCATTCTAGGAATAACAATCAAAACAATATATTAAATCATGTTATAGCAGTATGTTAAAATGTATTGCAGTAAATTGATTTGGCTAGATAAACAGAGTTATGAGAAAAGATATATTCTGCAGAGTGAAGGAAAAACCAAATCTATTGAACACCATCATTCAATAGAAATTGTCATTTTTGGCCTTGTAATAACAAGCCCAAACCGAACACTGTTCCCCTACATCATGTCAGTCATTAGACACATCCACCTTTTGAGCTTTTTCAGTGATGTATTAAATGATGAGAGACACTTCATATAGTAATGTGTTGTTTGGCAGGACCAATTGTTGGCTCAGTAGAACATCATGAAGTGCCAACAGATATTTCATTCGATGAATCAGACTTTGATGCCCTAAAGGAATTCTTAGGACCAGAGGTAAAGTGGATTTTAATTTCTACAGATTTTAAGAACTGTTTTTTGTGCTCTTTACCGGCACCATGTTTAAAGAGACAATGAAGTTTTAGCAGCATTACCCGCAAGTAGAAGCATGGAAAGATTAAGACCTGTACATTATGGTTAGAGATTTTTCCTTTAGTTGGCACAACAGTAAAACTTTTGTCAGGTCAAAACTCAAATTGTTATAGTGAAGAAGCATTATAGAGTAATCAAACTAACTTTTAATTTAGTAAATAAATGAAAGAGTAAATATTACTAAATTGACGACAAAAAAATGAAAGAAGTTACTCAGTAGTGCAATAACATCCTACCTACTTGACAAATACAGACCAAAAGTTACGCTGGAAGACCCAAGGCTTCGCTTGCTTTCTCCCTTTTTAATAGAGGTATTTTTATAACAAAAATGATTGCAATGGCTTTCATCATGACAACTTTTTGTTAGTGTTTATTAATTAATAAAAGAACTAAAAAAACCATTCTGTAGAAGCTTCCTATTATATTTTTTGTCATTAACTGTTTGCCCAGCATGACTTTTTATAGGTATGTTATTTATAAATTTGTCCAAAAAAATGATAGAACTAATAATTAGTTCTATTTACTTTAATAACAGTTGCAAATAACAGTACTTGATACAAATGTGCCAGTATCATCTAAAACCACACCTATTACATTATTCAGAAGGCACAGAGAAAATTCCTTCAATAGCGTGCTCCTTAAATAAAGATCAGGTAGTTGATTGTGCCTGGGCACCATGTTGTAAGATGGAAATGAGGTTGTAATCTCATCATTTTTATTTTTAACATTCTGAACTATCTTTGTCAATGAAGACACGAGTTGAGACAGGTCTGAGACACTAGTTGCCTATCTTTGTCAATGAGGAGGGGCTAAGTCGAGTTGAGGTTGGTGATCTGAGACACTAGTTGCCTATCTTTGTCAATTAAGAGGGGTTAAGTCAAGTTGAGGTTGATGGTCTGAGACACTAGTTGCCTATCTTTGTCAATTAAGAGGGGTTAAATCAAGTTGAGGTTGATGGTCTGAGACACTAGTTGCCTATCTTTGTCAATGGAGAGGGGCTAAGTCAAGTTGAGGTTGGTGGTCTGAGACACTAGTTGCCTATCTTTGTCAATTAAGAGGGGTTAAGTCAAGTTGAGGTTGATGGTCTGAGACACTAGTTGCCTATCTTTGTCAATTAAGATGGGTTAAATCAAGTTGAGGTCGATGGTCTGAGACACTAGTTGCCTATCTTTGTCAATGAGGAGGGGCTAAGTCGAGTTGAGGTTGGTGATCTGAGACACTAGTTGCCTATCTTTGTCAATTAAGAGGGGTTAAGGGTCAAGGTGTGAGGTGATGGTCTGAGAACACTAGTTGCCTAACCCTATTTACTTTGTCCATTAAGAGGGGGTTTTGTAAAGTTCAAGATTGTAGGAAGTTGATGGGTTGAGACAGCTGTAGTTGCCTATCTTTTGGTCAATGTAGTAGGGGGTTAAATCAAGTTGAGGTATGTTACTGGTCGGAGCACACTAGGTTTGCCTTCTCTTTGTTCAACATCCGAGGAGGGGCTGAAGTAATAAGAAGTTGAGGTGTTGGTGGATTACTGAGGACAGCTATGTTGCCTATCTTTGGTATAGTTAAGAGGGATGATAGATCAAGGTTGAGTAGTGTGATTGGTCTGAGTACACTAGTTGCCTTATAGCTTATGTGTCAAGTCGAGTGGTGAGGGCTAGTTCGGTATGTTTGAGGTTTTGGTTGATGCTTGAGACAGCTAGTTGTGTTCCGTAGTTCTGTTGGGTCCTATGTATTATGAGGTGGGTGTTTAAAGTGTGTAAGTTGAGGTTGTGGGTTCTGATGACAGCTGACTAGGTTTGGCCTGATTACCTATGCTTTATGGTCAAGTTAAGAGGGGTTTAAGTCATCGGGTTGAGGTTGATGGGTTCTGAGACACGCTCAGTTGCCTATCTTTGATCAATTAAGAGGGGTTAAATCAAGGTTGAGGTGTGATTTGGTCTGAAGACACTAGGGTGCCATATCTTTGTCAATGGGAGAGGGGCTAAGTCAAGTTGTGAAGGTTGGATGGGTCTGAGAGCACTGAGTTGCCTAACCTAAGTCTTTGGTCAATCTAAGGAGGGGATTGTAAGTCGAAGTTGAGGTTGGGGTAGGTCTGGAGGACACTGTTGACCTATTCTGTTGTCATTAAGAGGGGTTTAAATCAAGTTATGGAGAATGATGGTACTGGACATCTAGTTTGTCCGTATTCTTGTCACATGAGGTGAGGGGGGCTAAGTCGAGGTTGATGTGTGGTTGATGGTCTGAGACACACTAAGGTGTGCACTTATCTTTGTCATTAATGAGGGGTTAGCGTTCGAAGTTGAGGGTGTGATGGTGTCTGAGGACATTGCTAGTGGTGCCTATCTTTGGTCAAGTTGGGTAGAGGGGCTGAAGATCAACATGAGGTGTAG